TCAAAGCCGCTTCACGGCTACGGGGCCTTCATGTCTTGGGCCCTTTTTTGGGGTCATTTCCAGTCTCCAGCTGTGGAAACTCGTGCGTGGCGCAGGGTACAGGGTTTAGGGGTCAGGTCCACAGCACAGCACCGGGGGATGAAGGGCCCCCTAACATGCAGAGGGAGCCCTGCTCTTCTATTGGTACCCTCTTAAGTGCCCCTTTTTGTGAACGTTCTGCAGAATAACAATCCCACCCAAAAAAACTGGAGAATTGTTCTTCATATGGGCAATATAGGGGTTGTTTTTTTGTCTTGTGTTTTTTAAAAGGGGGTTCTCAAGCAAATCGTGGTGAGTGGACTGAGCTTCGGGAGTGGACATGAAAGCGCTTCGGGCTGTTGCCTAAACCCTAAACCCTAAACCCTAAACCCTAAACGGCACCCCCTGCCTTTTTGCAGTGACCTTGGGCAAGGCAAGAGACAGCAAAACAACTCCCATGTGAACGGTGAATCATTTTATACATACATTACTATTTCCCATAATATTTGATAATGGTGCTACGAATTTTCCACTTATTTTGTTCATAAAATTTCTTGATAGGGCCTCTGATTCTAAATACAATGCACTTGAACACCCTAAGCCCTAAACCCGAAACAGCTGCAGCAGGGGGTCTGGGGAGTCTGGGGCCAGGGCGCTTGGGGTTTTTTGCCACCTGCCTAGCAGCCTCACAAAAACACTGTAGGGATGCGATACGTCCGTCCAGAGTGAAAGGAGGAAGAGGTAGGGTTTAGGGTTTACACGGCGCTGTCTCTGAGTTTGAGTTGGGTTTAGGGTTTAGGGTTTAGGGTTTAGGGTTTAGGGTTTAGGGTTTAGGGTTTAGGGTTTAGGGTTTAGGGTTTAGGGTTTAGGGTTTAGGGTTTAGGGTTTAGGGTTTAGGGTTTATGGTTAGGGTTTAGGGTTTAGGGTTTAGGGTTTAGGGTTTAGGGTTTAGGGTTTAGGGTTTAGGGTTTAGGGTTTAGGGTTTAGGGTTTAGGGTTTAGGGCTCTGAATGTCGTGCGCGACCAAGAGCCCCCAGATAGTTCCTTAGTGGCGCACCCGACTGCACATCACCCTGCCAGGGGACCTTCATTTGCCGCTGGGCTTTTGTCGGCCCAAAATGCTGGTTCACCATCCCTGGGCCAGGGACCACACCAAATCATTCACGGGCTTCGGGCGTTGTACCCCTGACCCTAAACCCTAAATCCTGAAACCTAGTTGGACCCCTTTTTAGCTGTTGCAAAGGGATTCTGGTCAATGGACTACGGGCCGACTGAGGAGGGGACGACACACAGCAAATTACATGTTAAAGCTTGGAGGTCGAGCAATGACGCAACCTGGCCTTTTTTTGCCACCCGACTAGCCACCTTTAGGGTTTAGGGTTTATAGGGTTTAGGGTGAATACCTAATTTAAACAAGACAACAGGGTGAACCTCTGACTCCAGAACTCCAGAACTTTCGTGCAATGTGAGCCCATGCTCAGCCCACACCCTTCAGTGAGTTGAGGGCTTATGCAAACTTTCCCCATGTTCTGTGAGTAGGGTTTAGGGTTTAGGGTTTAGGGTTTAGGGTTTAGGGTTTAGGGTTTAGGGTTTAGGGTTTAGGGTTTAGGGTTTAGGGTTTAGGGTTTAGGGTTTAGGGTTTAGGGTTTAGGGTTTAGGGGGCTTGGCAAAGGCATCCCACGCGACGCAACAGAATGCATTGAAAAAAGCCCGAAGATTCGGATCTGGCACTCCTCGTCCCAGGATGCTCATGGTCGCCGCCATCTGCGGCGGATCGTCTTACCTCAAGGGTTTTGTGGGAACTGTCCTGCTTGGACATCACGCTGAGGTTTACTTGGAGGTTCACGGGGCTTGCTTTAAGTGGGGTTATAAGTCCCCCTTCTTCAAGCAGGGTGTTCATGAGCTTTGGAGGTTCAGGGACGATTCGAGCGTGGTTTGACACGACCCGACAACAAACCATGCGTTTCCCAGTGTAAGGCGACCAAGTAGGAAGTTCGGCGAAAAACCTCCCTAAACCCTAAACCCTAAACCCTAAACCCTAAGCCTAAACCCTAAACCCTAAACCCTAAACCCTAAACCCTGTCTAGAAGATTCTAGAACTGGGGACAACTCCACCGCATCCATTGACCGATATATCTAATCCCGCTACCTCGGGACCCCAAACCTTGCGACACACGTTAAGGCCTGGCATCCGTCAGAGTTGCAATGAAATATTGGGGGGAAGGGGGGTGCGAATTCCATCCTGTGCTCCGAGATGGGTTTAGGGTTTAGGGTGGCCTCAGGCATGGAATTGCCAAGATTCCTGGTCCTTGGCGATGATGTCAGGCTGCCTCATTTTTTCTGCAGCTTTTTCTCCTTGGATCCGGGCATCAAACTCTTGACCAGGGATCGCATGCACCTGCAGTGTCATCTGTTGCACGTATGCACGTGGTTGATCAAAAATCGGATCCGTGCCAAATTCGGCACGCGCACGCTGCGCACTTCCGAGTTCATAGGCCCTCGACCATTCAGATTCTAGCGCAAAAGCTTGACTAGGCTCCACATGCTGCAAGAACATGTCGCTGTCAGAGACGGAAGCAACGCAGAGAGGTGGAGCTTTCTTTAACACTTCAGACTTTCCGGGACACCGCCATCTGCGCCGAGAAGCTTTTTTGCCTTTTTTCTTCGGGGCGTCCTGGGGCAGTGAAGGTAAGCGCCAATGAAACGAGTCGTGCATCCCGAACGATTGTTTTGCCACGTGGTCGTAAGCAACCCTAAACCCTAAACCCTAAACACTAAACCCTAAACCCTAAACCCTAAACCCACGTGTTTATGATCTCTCAGCACAGAGCTCAACTACCTCATCCTTAAAAATACCCCAAAAAAACGTCCACCAACCCGCTGAAACAAAACTGGCCTGGACTGCCGGGACGGAGAAGTGAAGGCGGCAAAGGGTCCTCACACCTTGTGGGGAGGGGGGTTTAGGGTTTAGGGTTTAGGTTGGGGGGGGGGGGGGGGGGGGAGTTTCGGGCTCAGCGTAGAATAGCGGAGGTGAGGCTGAGTGTGACCTTTGATAGTCAAGGTGGGTGGAAGGAAGGCTGGTAGACCACTGGCACACACTGACATACTGACAGAAAAGGGGGCCCACTCCAAGAGTTACCCTACACCCAGAGCACCATGTCTCCAGGCCTAGGCCAGTCATCTCCATGGCAATTTGGCGCGACATTTTGTTCTCAAAGGAAGGCGGACCGAACCGCGAGCAGGATCTTCGGCAAAGGAGCCAATGTTGCTGTGAGCCACACGCAGGCAGTGGATAGCAATGGCAATTGACGCAGCTCTGTATTTTCACCTGCACTCAGTACACTGCAATGTAGGCTGAAGAAAAGATCCCCGAAAGCATTGGCACACCGCCACATGCCAGATTCATGCCAGATCCTGAACTCTCCAAAAACCTGGCCCGTTATCAAAGACGTGCGACCCATCCCTAAACGATCACCAGATGTCCCCAGAAACTTTCTTTGGAAGCTGGAACATCCTACCAAAGCCCAATCTTTAAACCCACAAAGGCCTTTTCATCCTACCTCACCCCCAAAACCCTAGTCTGCAAGAATGCATGGCAACATCCTGCCTGTGTCTCCTGGTCTGAGAGGCGCCGAAGCATGTTTCACAGCTGCATCTGTTCATGACCCCTTCAAGACGATAATGGGCTGCGCTCTCGCACCCAAGAAGGCTTTTGAGGTTGAGGGTTTCGACTTAGACTTCGAGAATGTCTACTCACACCGAGACCAGCCTCCTGGAGCCAATAGGCTGAGACGGGCCTCGAATGGCTTAAGGCAAGTGTATACACTCAGATGCAGCCTGCAGACTGCAATTGGGGCTGCGGCAAGCCTGCGCGATGCTTGACATGATTAAAGATCGCTCTTGTTGCGCGTCGCATCGGGAAATTGTCAACTTTCCGTGCCCTTGCTGCACATCTTCTGAACTCTGTCATGCGCTCCCCGCAAAACGTTTTTCGGAACCTGGCCGGGCATTTTGTGATATACTCGTTGATGCATTAACATGAACCATAGGACACCCACCTCCACTTCTCAGTTGATCCTGTGGATGTGCTGCAGGTGCAGCCCATCTCTTGCCTGGACTGCACCTCGCGGTGCACTCCCCGGTTCAGCACTTGCGCGGGTTCCAGTAATCAAGCCTTGACTGGGACATCGCAGAAAGTGATGGCAGAGGTTGTTGAGCTAGAAGTGGGGTTCGTGCAAGTGCCGAAGAGGGCTGTTTCCGCTTGACAGCCTCAGGGGTGGACCGGGCCAAAGGCAGCAAGCCTGCCAACCTTTGAGGCGTGCCCAAAGAGGATGCCATACAGCTGAATGCGGCGGCCTCTGTGGCGACTTTCCTGGTGACCCTCCACTGTCAGGGGTCCCTTCGTAGTGGACACCACCGAGGTGTTGTAGTGGAACAAAATGATGGCCCGCCGAAAGGGGTGGCCACCAGTCCCTCTTGAGTGAAGTTAACGAAAATAAGATCAACTTCGACGAATTCCTCGAGTTTCTTAAAAAATGGAGAGTGCGCGGCATTCGTCTCGTTTCAACGAGGCTGAATGTTCGAGATGTTACCACGTGCTTGGCACGAGTTGCTTACGTTATGGCCCCAGTTGGACAAAAGAGTGAGCGTGCAGAATGAATCAATAAGACCATGCGTGTTTCCGTTGTTTCTTGAAGCAAGGTTCTTGTGCACAGGAATGTTTCGCCTGAGTTGCTCAATGATATCACTAGCCGGCAGCTGAACAGCCCGTCCCACAGGCACATCGCCCCCATCGCCGTGAAGCGTAGCAAACAGCGGGACCCCTGCTTCTATCGACCCCCTTTAAAGGCTTGAGAAGAACTGCAACAGGGCGCCGGCAGATGTACAGCTTGGAAGAGAAAAGCCCTGTCAAAACCCCCGATGATGTCCAGTGAACCAGAAGAAGAGATTGGGGGGGGGGGGCCCAGTCATGGTGAGGGCGTTTTACACACGTCGCGCGACCGGCCACACTGGCGCCCTTCCTTTGGAAGGTGGCGGTTCCTGCGCTGCCTGCTTCGGCTTCGGAAGCGCAATCTCGAGTTGGGCGTCACTTCCGGGATGGAGTTTGGCCCACTCGGCTCTGAGCTCGCTGATGAACTCCTTGGGGTCGGATTCTTGGCCTTTTGGGCATCTGGGGCTCAATGTAAAGCTTCAATGAGACACAAACATCAGGGCCTTCATGTTGAGTGTATTAATGTGCATTAGCTGTGGGCCCTTAGGCTAGCAGCGGCTTCATGCGTGCACATAAGTCCTGCAGCAACAATGCGGGCAAACCCCATGTCTGTGCTTCAGATGTACGGGCCTCTTTGGCAATGCTGCGCTCCAGCCGAAAGTGGCGAAGATTCCGTGCTTTGGCCATGAACTGCTTCAGCAGGTCCAGGCCTTCCTGCCAGGGGGCTCAGGGCTTAAGGGTTTAGGGATCCTGTGTTGGCAATGCCTCAGTCTTGCACAGAGCGTTGTCGTTGAAGTTCAAATACTCCAGGGGGAGCTCCGTGCCAAGACGTGGCATCAGCTCGGTCTTGAAGACCGTCTCTGTAATGTTGCAGTAGTTGGCATTGGCTCCTGATGATGTTTGCCCAATAGACTTTGCAGTGTAACCGCCACAACAGCCGAGCAGCCCTAAACGTCCTAAGTTCAGGACACGCCGCCTGCATTTCTGAACAGCACTGGGGGATTGTGGCCGAGCATCCCTTCGTGTGGTGGAAGAGAAACGCAAGCATGCTCCATTTCGCAGCCTTTCCCGGTGTTTGCGTGAGGTCCCAGTTGTTGTCGGTAAAAGCCTCATCGGGAGCACCCCTTGTAAAATCATAAAACCCTGTGAGATGCAAAGCCCAATGACAAGCTTTGATTGTATGCGATGAATGGACCAGAAGTCATCAGCTCAGGCGCAGAGGCTTCTGCAAACGCTTTCAGGACACTCTGGTGATCTTGCTTCACCAAGCCTTGGCACAACAATAGTGGGGACCCCCACATCTGTCAAGCCTTCGAAATCTTAACCTCGCCCCCAACGTTGGCGGGACTTGGTCAGCGTGGGTTCAGCTGCTGCCGTGGCGCTTCATCCCAGTCAGACGCATTGAAGCAACCACTGCAGCCCTAGTACATCTACAAGACAAGGTCAAGCCGGGAGCACAAAAGTGATGCAATCACCACCACAACCAGTCCAATCCACTCGCCCTTTTGCACGGTGATGCGTTTGGAGAGCTCGCCCGTTTCACTGCTGCGTTGGAGGGGAAGCTACCCTAACTTCTGAACCGTATTGACCATGAAAGAGATTCAAGGAGATGGCTAGCCGCTAGCCCCCTGGGAATTGAGCCAGCCAAGAAACACAGGGATCCTGAGATAAATGCGACAGTTCCTGAGACCAGTGCAACCTGGACCAGCACGGTCAAACAAACCCCCTGCCCAAGGATGTCCAGACAGAACCCTCATGGGCAAGTTTCCTTCCACATACTCAGCCGACGAAGCGGGCTGCCATGAAGGCTTGCAAATGGAATTCGACACAAGATACACGGAGCCTGCCTTTCAAATTATAATGGGTAAAAATGGAGAACGCCAGACTCAACGTGAACCGGGTATCGCACCCCCCCCCCCCCCCCCCCCCTCGTCCAGGCACTCGCCGCCAACTGGGTTTCTCGCCCTTTCTGCGCATGCTCCCCGTCGACCAAGTATATTCCCGTCAATTGGGTGTATTTCCCTCCACCCCCCTTGTGCAGGCTCTCCGCTTCAAGCGGGCATCGCGCTCCCCAAACTCCCCGTCAACCCCCACCAGAATTGCGTTCCCCCCCTTGTGCACGGTATCGTGCTCCCTGCTCTCCCCATTATAACCGCGTATCGCACTTTCCGTCATGGGGTATTGCGCTCCACCACACCCCCGTCAACTGGGTATGGCGATCCCCGCCAGTCCATGCCATCCCCGTTGACTGCGTGTCGCATGCCGCCCTCTCGTCCTCGCGTCCACGACCTACCCCTCCACCGGGTATCGCTCTCCCCGCTTGTGCAACCCCGCCCCGTCAACCCAATGTCGTTGCCCCCCATTGTGCAGGACATGGCGCTCCACTCTTGGTCAACATTCCTGCGCGCGCCTCTCCCATCGACATTCCCACGCCTCTCCATCAACACTCCCGCGAGTCTCCCATCAACATTCCGTCCGACCTCTGTTGACTGTTTAGTCTTCGCAGCAACACTGTCCGATATCCCGCTCTCGAGAGGTACAGGGACTGAGCATCGAGAGCAAGACAGAGCGTTGGCTTGATGTAAAGCATCCCCGGGTTTTGTTGCAATCAGCCTCTCTCCTGCTGTTCACTTTTCAAACACCAAATTTGGGAATTTTCGCAGAAGGAGGGAACCTTTATCGGCTGCCAGTGACGATCCCAAAGCCAATCTGAGCCTGTTGGCCACCTGTTGGCCAGTCTTGGTCACTTAATGGTTCTGCGTAGTTCTGGATGTACCTTCCCTCTTGGTTCGGACGAGGTTCAAACCTCAGAACTCCTCGACAGCCCCGACCACCCATCACCAGAAGCTCTGCTCCCCACTGCACATCACAGCACTGAACCCAATTTAGCGACGTGAACTCTTCTTGCAGTGCGAGGAACGGTCAAACACTTCCCTCTGCTCTTCGTGGCTGACTTCACGACCCTGCTTCACAGCCTCGCAGAATCGCAGACAACCACACTCACAGCATTCTACAACTTTCTACAGCACTCCGTACACGCAACAGCTGGCCGTGCCCTTTGACTGCCAGCTTCGTGTGGCTGTGAGCTTTACACTGTGCTATCTGGATGCCGTGGCTCTTGCTAGTTAAGTTTCTTGATGCATACTTGTCTCGTACCTGCCGCAGGTTTCTTCATGGCTTTAGGAGCTTATAAGGCAAGCCCTTCATAGATCGGCTGCGTGCAGATGGCACATTGACACTGGAAGCAGCGCTGAAAAGGCAGCCAGGCATGTTTCCGAGATTGCGACTGGCCTGGGCAATCTCCTCACCGAGGGCCTTGGCGGCGCCCTCCCGGTCCTCCGTAGGAACACCTCGGGTTTAGGGTTTAGGGGGTTTAGTTTTAGGGTCTGCCGACTGTGCCGTGCCTTCGTCCATCACTACCTCGCGGAGGGCATGGTAGCCAGTGATGGGGTCCCAAAGTCGACAACATCGTGCGCGTTCGACATCCTGAGCACGTGATGAAACCCTAAACCCTAAACCCTTCTGTGGGCATGAGCATGATGAACAGGATTTAAGCTTGTAGAACAGCACCACGTCGAACCGAACTGCAGCAGGCCAGCTACATAAGGGTTGCCACAGTTCCTACCAGAGTCGACAAGCCCACAGTATGGGTGTGCCACGGGTCCCGCTTGCAAACGTTCTTCCAGGGAGTACCCCGCTTGGCCAGCATGCACAGGACGAAGGGACGCAGAGCTTCAATCATGGACCTTATGTTGCTCGGCCAAGTCTTGAATATAAGAATAACAAGAAGAATAAGAATAAGAATAGGAATAAGAACAAGATCAAACAACAATAACAATAACAATAACAATAACAAAAACAAAAACAATAACAATAACAATAACAATAACAAATACAATAACAATAACAATAACAAAAGCAATAACAAAAACAACAATTAATACTAATAATGATACTAGTAATAGTAATAACAATAAGACCATTACTATAAACATGCATATGAATACCAACAAGAAAAACAATATCAACCAAAAGACTAACAAAAATATTCATAAACAAATCATAGTAGCAATAATACTAGTACTAGTAATCGTAATCGTACTAGTAATAGCAATAGCAATAGCAGTAGTAATAGCAACAGTCATAGTAACAGTCATTGATATCATAATAGCAACAGTCATAGTAACAGTCATTGTAATCATACTAACAGGCTTAGATTGGGATGTGTCCTCCAAGTGCTGCAGCTGGAGAGCATTTGGAGCCAGGCCAGGCCAGCGCAAAGCAACAGGGCTGGCGAGGTGCCCTGTACGCTGATCGTGACGACGGTGCTCGCCAGTGCCTCGGTATCACGGCATCGTGCACGCGGCGCAAGGAGTGCAACAGGCGTCTTTGAGGTCTGCCTGCGGAAGCTGCTGGTAGAGGCTTGAGATCTGCTTCACGTGCGAGGTGAAAGTGCCTGAGAAGGGGGGCTTGCCCAGGGTTGCTCCGGAAATAAACTTGAACCTCGGTTCTCCAGGGTTTCGGCACCCAAGCCTAGCTTCACCAAGCACTCGAACTCCATGGATGCCCAGAGATGGCAACAGCGGGTGTAATAGCTGGAGTCCTGGCCATCTCAAGAGATCAACTTGAGGGTTTAGAGAGTTTAGGGTTTAGGGTTTGCCCTTTGAGGGTGACGGAGTCGGACAACTGAGTCGAAGCAGGACCAAGTCAGAAATCAAGAAGGCCAGGTCAGAAAACTACGCGAGTCAGCACGCACGCCAGGAAAACCGCAGTTGCTCAGGGTTTAGGGTTTAGGATTTAGGGCTCATCTATTCGGGGACATGGCTATTTGGCAAAAGTTATAAAGAAGTGTGGCGATGATGTTGGTAATGCTGTTTGGTCTGCGGCGCTGCGAACCACAGGATTGCCGGGCAACAAGAGGAGGACCATCCAAAGGAGAGGAAATAAAGAATCTGAGTCGCCTTCAAGGATTTGCTGAGGCTCACTGCCGATTAGGGAAGCCACAAAATATGCCGCAAGCTACCACCCAGAGTTTCTGTTTCGGTCCTTCGGCTCAGAAAGGACCAAGGGCAACGTTTCTTCACCGGAATCTCCATCCACCTGCGGGAAGGAAGAAGCGTTTTCACAACAGGTAGTTACCCTGAAGCTGTGCAGATGCAGTACATCGCAGTACGATGGAACTCGCCTGGTGCTGCATGGGCAGGGGCAGTGGAAGAGGAGGTGCAAGGCTCGCCTCGCGCAGCAACAAAAAAGCTCTTGTGGGGGGTGATCAAAACTATGGGCCCTTTCGGTGCCCTAAACAAAAGGGAAGATTCTACAATAGAGACCAAAATAGGCCCTTAATTTTCATATATTTTGATCAACTCCCATGTAGGATAATCTGGTGCCTGTCTGGCTACCTGGCCTCCGTGCTCCTTCCAACTTGCACAGGCCATACAGCTCTCCGCAACTGTCGGAGGTCATCGCGACGCCACAGACTGGCAACAGATGCGTTGGCTACGTTAGGGTGCTGGCTATTTGGCCACGGGAATCACTGCATGCTCAGAGAAAAGGAAACAGAAGCTGTTGGCAGTCTGCAGTGTGTCCTCAGCAACTCAGTCTGGGGCATAACAAGGTTGCCCAGGATATTTGTCACAAGCACCACGGCCACGCCGAGATAGGACCAGAAGCTTCCGATGCGAATATAATTTGCCACAGCCGTTGCGTCCCTCAACAGCTCGAACCTGGGTCGCACTAGCCCGGGTGCTCCAAACAGCCCAGACATTCGATGACACTGGGTGAACGTGAGCTTTACGTAACTACACCATGGAATCACACCTCGCTACAGCCGAAGAAGCGCGAAACTTTCTGCCCCCACCCACACACACCCACACAACTCCACACACAACCACCCACACACACACAACCCCAGACACACAACCCCAGACACACAACCCCACACGCACAACCCCACACACACAACCCCACACATAAAACCCCACACACAACCTCGCCCACCAAAGCCTCTGAAACTCGGGCGAGGCACCGTTCACCAAAGGGCAGCATGGCTTCCAGGACATTGGCAACGCCGACCCTGCCTGGCTGAATCCCCTTCAGGGTTCCTATTACGTGCCCACTAGTAGTAAAGGGTAAAAAAAAAGCGACTTTCTAGAACTTTCCCGGGGTCTGGGTCGAGGGAAGGGCCAGTGAGAGGTAAAGGAGATGGGAATGTAGACGATTGCGGGTCCCGACAGGAGATTCCTATGACCATATTACAGGGCCTGGGTCTACATAACCCCAAGCCCTAAACTGCCTTAAAACCTATCATGCGGAAACTCAACGATGACGGCTGGTTCCACACTTCCAAGTTGGTCCACGCGGACAGAGGCTGTATACGAAACTCGGAGTGGTTCGAACTACTTGGAAATTTCCGATAATCGGGGTACCCCTATATCCCCCAAATATAATAGAATCCCCTTTGTAAAGGGACCCCAAGGGGTACCGTACCCTTAACATAGACAACCCCCAACTATAATTCTTTGAGAGGCCCAGAACCTTCACCCCCCCTCGCAAAAAAACAAAAAAAAAAAGAAACCTTCCTGCGGGCAAACAACACCGCAAATCACCTGCGAAAGTGGTCTTCGCCTCGGAAGCTTGCTACACCCTACGCACCATTGCCGGATCAAACACCGGTCTTCCAGAATCGTCTTCGCATCGCAGCTCTTCTTCGTCACCCGACCAGACAAGCCCGAAAGTCGTCTTCAACAATCGTCTTCACCCTAAAAGTCGTCTTCGCGACGTCAATTGTCGTCGCCCTCTGACAATCCCTCTGACAAGCAAGTCCCGGAAAATCGCCCTCAAAAAACATCTTCGCCACCCCCCCCGAAACCGGCCACCTCGCGCCGTGTCAATGCACTATTCTGACTGAAAACGGAGAAATTCTCAGCTGACGTAGAAGAGGCATGTCTGTTTGCAATATCACAGGGTAGGATGGACTTCCCTCGATTCTATTCTTCAGGTTTCTCGAGGGAAGGATTTGGCAACAAAGGCTTTGGTCGCCTGGCGTGACGACCACGGCATGGATGCAGTTCGTTAGCAGCACTTCGCAAAGCGCAAGAAGCCAGAACTCGTAGACAGGCAAACCGTTCACCGTCCTTCCGCTCAGGCCTCAGCCGACAGCTTCGGCCATATACCATCCTTGCGTTAAGAGCCTGCTTAGCTACGTAATGTTTACTGTAATTATCCTAGTGGTCTGGGCTGGTGCCGAGTGGCCTGCGAAAATGCCACTACCCAAGTAAACATAGACCAAGCTGATCTGAAAGACTGCGAATAGCACCTGCGGCACAGGGATCCAACACACATTCGCACTCCTCCAACCCGACAAAAAACATAAGACCTAACGTGACAGAATGAGTCAGCTTTATCCAGGTGACTGACTGAAGTGACTGTTTTCTCTGCTCCTGGCTTTTGAGGGCGGCTGATGGGCTCAGCTACAGCATGGGGTCTCCACCAGTCTTCTCAATAAACAAGGCTGAAGCAATACCTGCATGCATGCGTGGTGCATTATAAGATGCTGATGCTTGCGTGCCAATTTTCCGCAGCAGCAAAACTGGCCCCAGGGGTTGCCATAATGACTTTGGCGGGGCCGGTAAGATCATGTTCATCTCCTTTTTGCCCTCGGCTAAGAATTGGCTTGAGCCTCCCAGCAAAAAAAGAATGCTGGCGGTTGCCAAAATGTTGTTTCCCGGCCTTGAAACAATCACGTTGGCTGTGTCTGGCCCTTTGTGCAGGCTCGTGTTTTTCAAAGCCCGGAACGGAACGCCCCGAACGAAACGGAACGGAACCCTGAACGGAACCCGGAACGGAACCCGGAACAGAACCCGGAACGGAACCCGGAACACAAACCGGAACGGAACCCGGAACACAAACCGGAACGGAAACCGGAACGGAACCTGAACGGAATGGGTTCCCTGCTCTCGTGTGGAGCATCCATCGTTAATACAACGGAGTGGGGAGAGGAGCAACGGAGCATGGAGCAACACAGTGCAAGTGCACAAACCGGCGTGGAGTACGGAGCAGAGCTATGCATCATGCTCCATAAAGGGAAGCACGGTGCAACGGAGTACGGAGCAAAGTCAAGTACACGATGCTGATTGCACCACAGACTGCGTACTTAGTCGAGTTTGACAGTCGGATTCTGAGAGCATTGGCACATGCATGTCACAATGCGTTTGGTCCGACTGGTCCCGCGGTGAGCGGGGAGATGGCTTTCATGTCCCTCATCCAATCCGAACATTGCAGCGGCGTAAAAAGCAACTTGCATCCCGATGTAAGACAACCACTATGAATTAAGTCAAGACTAGAGGCTCTGCTACATCGCACTTGGGGTTAAGTACTCCCTTCGGAAAGCCATCATGATGACCTCTTGGGCAAGGCACATCGCTTCTTGTGAATTGCCCGGCGTCGTCCTGTTTCTCCTGTGGTCAGGGATTGGAAGGTTGTCCATGCACAAGCCCTAGTTTCTAAGAGCGTGGTTATCTTGCCAGGCTGCTGAACGCCCTCAACCCCTAAACCCCTCTCTCTCTAAACCTCCAAACCCCTAAACCCTAAACCCCTGAACCCTTAATCCTTCATACCCTAAACCCCTGAACCCTAAACCACCAAACCCCTAAACCCAAAACCCCCAAACCCCTAAACCCCAAACCCTAAACCCCAAAACCCTAAACCACCCAACCCCCTCTCAACTCTTCTGAGGTACGATTGTTGCCGGTCCGCGGAAGCGGCCCACCAGGTACACGAACAGCAAGGCGAAGGCGGTGAAACCAAGGCTCAAGCCTTTGAAGGCAGAAGGGTTTAGGGGTTCAGGGGTTTAGGGGTTTAGGAGTTTATGAGTTTAGGGTTTAGGGGTTTAAGGGTTTAGTGAATATGACCCTAAACCCGAGGAGAACTTATCTCTTTCACGAGCACAGACCTCTAGATACTTCAGTTCAACTGCCGGGTAGACTGAAGCACCCAATCCTACTCCCCCCCATCCTGCACCTCAGGTTCCGAAAAAAAAAAGAACCATGTCACGTGGCAGGTCTTGAGACAGGGAAATGTCCTCCTGACTTCTGAGGTGTCCTGAAACGTTAACGTCGCCCAGGTGCCGCAGAAGATGGCGTCCCGCTGTGACTGAACTTCCTCCGTCGCCTTCTCTAGATCTTCGCCCCGTGGGAAGAAGCTCAACTCCACTAGAGAGCTGTATGTGGCGTCCTGGCTGAACGATGGTCTGAACCCTGGCCCTAAACCCTAAACCCTAAACCCTAAACTCTAAACCCTAAACCCTAAACCCAGTTTCAGGATCTCAATGTCACAAATGGCCTGGGAGTGCATCGCCCAAGGAAAGGGGCTCTCTCGGAAGTCTCGTGCCACCGACTGCGGGGAAAGCATCCAAGGCATCAAGCAAGGCTTCACCTGCCACTCCCCATGCACAGCGAGCTGGAAGATAAACGACATTTACTAATACAAATACCGAACGAGAATATGTAGTAACTCATAACATAACAATATCAAGAACAACAACAAAATGCTCCATGCATCATCAACTTGCTAGGGGCCATTCTTTTTTATGACGTTCCGGCGAGCTGGCAGACAAGGCACTCGGTTTTTTCACACGCTCAACGTGGGCGAGGAATGTTTGACCAACTTACCAAGAGCGGAAGATCCAGTCTCGTTGAGACTCCTGTCCTACGGATTTATGGGCACACGAGCTTCAGGCGTAGGACGGCATTGCCGGGGGAGGGGAATACTCTTGGAGATCTTTGCTCCAAAGTTGGAAGCAGGGCCAGACAGGACTCCAAGCTGGGATCCAAGCCCTCAAGACTGCGAGAGCGGGTTGCTGTTAAAGACCTTGAAGCAATCGCCGCAGCTGTTGCACAAACCCCTCTAAGTCCTGTTATTCTACCTTCATATACAGCAACTTACCAGAGAATCACAGTGTTGTTGCTTGTTGCGAACTTGTGCGCAAAGTAAAACGTCTGCAGTGGAATACTCTTGGAGATCTTTGCTCCAAAGTTGGAAGCAGGTCCCAATAGGACTCCATGCTGGGACCCAAGCCCTCAAGACTGCGAGACCAGGTTGCTGTTAACAACCTTGAAGTAATCGCCACAGCTATTTCGCAAACCCGTCTATAGCGGCAACTTACAAGAGAATCACAGTGTTGTTGCTTGTTGCGAACTTGTGCACAAAGTAAAACGTCTGCAGTGGGATACTCTTGGCGATCTTTGCTCCAAGTTGGAAGCAGGTCCAAACAGGACTCCATGCTGGGACCCAAGCCCTCAAGACTGCGAGACCGGGTTGCTGTTAACAACCTTGAAGTAATCGCCACAGTTATTTCGCAAACCCGTCTTTAGCCCTGCTATTCGACCTTCATACACAGCAACTTACCAGAGAATCACAGTGTTGTTGCTTGTTGCGAACTTTTGCGCAAAGTAAAACGTCTGTAGCAGTGCGAATCTGTTCCGTCACGGATATTGCCGGGAAGCTTCTCGCTCTCCAGCGAGGTCCCAGGAACAGGCGCTGGACATCCTGCTGCAACCTGCATCGGTACCGGGGGCACTGACATGGTATGTGACGGAGCACGCCGAGCCTCCCACAGTTACAGATGCACCTATCACGTGGCCGATGCTCAACCTTGATTTCATCAAGGCGAAACGGAAGCCACCGAAACGGGCCTTCGGCCCGACACGTTTTATAAATGGGCCTCTTGGAGATCTTTGCTCCAAGTTGGAAGCAGGTCCAAGCTTAGGGACGACATGAACCCTAAATCGGGGCCATATACCCTATACTATAATTCCTCTGAATGAGCCATAAACCCTTTTAGGGTTCTTTTGGTCCCCAAGGAAATAGGACTCCATGCTGAGACCCAAGCCCTCAACCACTGCAGACCGGGTTGCTGGTAAAGACCTTGAAGTAATCGCCACAGCTGTTTCGCAAACCCCTCTATAGTCCTGCTATGCTACCTTCATTTCAGCAACTGCTTGATGTGAATTTGTGCGCAAAGTAAAATGTCTGCAACAGGGCGAATCTGTTCAGTCACGGAGGTTACCGGGAAAGCTTCTCGCTGTCCTGTCTCCAGCGAGGCGGTACCCCCACCCAAAATACAAGTGCCTAAACATAAGCATCCTCCCTTCGGCGCATGGGGCCCATCTTTGGGGAGGATCCTTATGTCCTGGTGGTTGTTGGAGCCCCAGCGTACTGCAGGGTGCTCTCCTGTGCATGTTTGTATGCATCTCCTTCGGCACAAAGGCCGGAAACGTTGCGCCCGATGCTCACCCAATCATGAAAATGTGCTCTCCCTAAACCCTAAACCCTAAACGCTAAACCCTAGACCCTAAAACCCTAAACCCTAAAACCTAAACTGTCACAGAGACTCAACCTCTTCAGGCTCTAAATCCTCGATGTGAATGCGAACCTGGGCTTTGCTGTTGGGACCTCAATAGAAATCAGATTGATATTGACCTCTTGTTACAGGAAACAGAGATATGAAACCACTTCTGAGCAGATTTAAGCAGCTGAGTCTTGCAGAGAGTCACCATGGGGCCTGTGATGTTCCACGGAGGCTTGCTGATGGTGAGCGACTCCGTCAAAATGCTCACGGGGGCGATCTCCATACATATCTTTTGCGGTGGCCCATGCGCGCTTCACCTGCCCAAACTGATTGCTAGAAACAGCTTCACGGCGGGCATTTCTCACGCATGCCAGACACAAACTGAGGCAACTACCTCCCCATGTCCCGGAGGTCGCTCTTGATTGAATCGCATAACTGTGTTGACAACATTGGCTTCGTCGGCATCTGTGCATGAGATAATCAGGACATACTGGTTCTCTTGGGTGTAGTGCTTCAGTTCTTGCCCTCAGAGCACCCAGAGAAAATGCAAAAACATCTTCTATGCATGACCCTGGCTACTGTGCCTGTTGATGAGCAACCTGTCTGCGCGATGCGAAGTCGGACTCCAAAAGCAAGGGTTGCAAGAGGGTAAGTCTGCGGCACAACTTGTTCTGGGTCACGCGTGAGAATCCGCAGTTCGTCTTCGTCTCAATCAGCTGCATCCCGCCGACATCACAAAAGGGAAAAACTTTTAGATCGCGAGCTCTGTTCCTGGCCACGCAAGAAACCACAGTGGAAAAGCCAGGATCATGCTTACAAAAAATATGTTAAATGTGACAAGCTTGTGCCACAAAGCCCTTGTGCCTGCAATGCTGTTGACGTTGAAGCTTTACCGCTTCCAAGTATCATTGCGCTCTGTGCTAGCACATCACATCCACCAACTGAGTCTGCTGCCATTCTTTTTGAATAGCCGGAAATTCCGCATTCGTCATTTCGTTTTGAAGACCCGGTTGCACACCGAGCAGCAGCAGTCCTCAAATGCATCTTCTATATATATGGCTTAGTTCAGCGGGCTTTCCGCGCCTAGGATACCAACAAACACCAACAAAACCACGGTCCTTGTGCACCTTCGTCGATGGCCGTCTGCGCAACACCGTAGATCGTGAATTTGTAGTGGCTGAACCAGTGCATACTTCGGATGCTCTTCTTTGCGCCCACACTCTCATGGCTTGTGGCCTGTAACCGTTGTTTCAGTAGGACTCCCCATTTCCATCTGAACCGTAACACAACTGCACTGTACAGTACCTGCCTGGACTTTTTCAACTCACACGCTGCAACACATTTGCAACACACTCGCCGTCAGTTGCACCACAACTGCAATCAACTGCAGGTCCGGCCTTCTTCAACCAGGACGAAGACCTTGAAATGTGCACCGTTGATGCTTCGTGATGTTTCAATGGCGATGACCATGCAAACTTCGCCTCGGCGGACCGGCGGAGATGCCGAAACATTCACTGAGTGCCTGTTGGCCAACCCCTCATTTGTGACTATAAAATCTTCTCACTTGTGACTGTTGTTTTTCTCACTTGTGACTATAACATCTTCTCACTTCTGACTTTTTAAGCTCACTTACGACTTAAATTCTAAAAGACGCAGCTCCCGCTCGAGAGGGGTCAAAAGCTCACTTGCGTCCTTTTTTTTTTTTTTTTGGGGGGGGGGGGGGGGGGGGCTCACTTGTGACTATTTTGTAGCCACAAGTGAGTCTTGATTTTGGGGAAATAGTTACAAGTGAGCGGGGGGGGGGTGCTGCTCAGCAACAGGGGTGGAAAGGACCTGCTCCCTGATAACACAGGGGTGTGCTGGGGTGGGTACAGGGGGGGGGCTTGATAATAGCGTGCTGCTCAACAACAGCGTGGTGGGGTGGGGGGGGGGGCTTGATAATAGCGTGTTCCACGTGCCGCTTGGGTGGAAAGGACGTGCTCCGCACAGTAGCCTTTGTTCCGCGTGCTGCCAAGAAGAATGGGGTGGATTGGAGGGGTTGATAATTGCGCGTCCTACACATGCTCCCCACAGGGAGGGGAGGGGGGGGGGGGGGGAGGGAGGGTTTTGATAACAGCGTGAGTTCCACGAGATGCCCAACAACAAGGGATAGGAGTCCCTTGAGACTGAGCCCAGAACCCCCTGTAAAAAAAGGCTGTTTGGACACGCTCAACGTCAAGACCCTCTAAAATCCAACATGGAGGGAGACTAATTAAGGCTAATGGAGACGAGCGGAGACAACGGGAGAACAACAGACATAAGGACACAACAAAAAGAAGATGAACGTGCTAGCAGCTGCTAGCAAAACACGCTGTGATTTGCAGTGTTTTGAGCCTCTGTACGCAAAAAGAAGTCACAAGTGAGAAGCAGCTTTTTTTTCAAAAAGTCACAAGCGAAAAACAAGAAAAAAGTCACAAGCGAGAACAAAAAAAGTCACAAGCGAGTAAAGATCCATTGCCTGTATTGCCTGGTCGCTAAGCACACAAAAAGTTGTTCAATGCGGATCCTGTTGCTTTGGGGACATATGTGTGCATGTATTAGCACTATGAACTATGAAATCTGAGCCTGTTCCAGCGACATGTGGGAGATATATGATATAAGAGTACAGCCTCTACAGGATTACGGGGGCCCGCCTTTCCAAGTCCTGGGGCGCGGTGTTTGTTGTGGATTCGCACTGCATCCTTCACGGCCGCAACTTCCGAGTCGATGCAAGAGACAATGATGACAAACGTCTCCTCCCTCGCACTGTGGTGCAACTCTTCACCTTCGGAACACACTCCCAAAACAATTACAGTAGTTCGCCTCGGCCCACGGCTGAGAGGCGTCTCGGAACTTTCCTTGGACTGCCCTGGGACCCTTGTTGGGATCCCTGACACTCTTTCTGGGACCGCCCCTGAAAGCTCACTTGAAACCCCTGAAACCTGAACCCTGAACCCTCTCACCCTCGACCCCCCAAACCCCCTCAAGCCCTCCCTCACCTTCCTGACCTGCATGGCGCTGCCTGAGGCTCTACAAAAACCCGTGGGTTCTCAAGTTTTGGGCTGTAGTGCCTTGCCCCCCCCCTGCTGGGACCCCACTACACTTCCCGAATCTCCTGCTCCCCCCCCTTCTTGAATTTTTATATCGTGCGTGGCGCTGCCTGAAATCCCAAGCCCGCGTCACAGGGGTGGTGTGGTCAGCTTCTCGTGGAAGCTTTCGGGTTGACGGTTCCTCTCCGCGATTTCCATGTCCGTAACCCGTGCGGGCAACTCTGAGGTCGACATGCGCTTCCCGAATCTTGGACCGGCCCGGCCTTTTAAAACACCAGGTCACCACCGTCTTAAGCTCACCCTGTCTTCGGTCTGCGGATGACATGGACTTAACATGGCTTGGACACGTCTTGGAATGGGAGCACGCTCCCTATTCCACAAAATGGTAAGGCCCACGCGCAACCGCTCACTCCGCGAACATGGCTGCCATTGTACTTGGGACTGGAAGTCAAGGCGACCATCACTGAATGGACGATTCCCCTTCCTGAATGCTTCTCTCCTCAGGTTATTCAGAGTGCCGACACTTGCCCCTTCTAGGGCTGAGACGCATGCTTCCCCCTTGGATCACTAAGGAGCTCACAAGTCAGTCTGGAGATCTGTCCATGAGTCCTCTGTGTATGTGCCCGGCTGGTCCGCAGCGATTTTCAAGAGAACCAATCCTGCAACCCGAACGTTAGGAGACTCAGTGAGCCTCGGCACAAAACTCTCCCATGAGCAGATGTGCATCCCAAAAGCGGCTCTGTCCTTTGGCACCCTCATCCATGGCAGTTTGCATGATGCTGAAGATCGTGTGCCGGTGGTGCGGATACCACTCAACGTACCATTTTCTGAACTGCTCCTTTTGCTCATATTTATCCTGCTCTTCTTTCTGGAGCTTTTTCTTCTTGAGCACCTGACAAGCATGGGTCTTCCAGGCAGAGCCGCTTAGGCAAATGAAACCTGTATACTGACTCTGAAAAAAACTGATTCACAATGTCGTGATCATTCCTTACATGCGTTATGATCCAAGCCAAGTCCCGCAACAGTGTGCATAAGCACTTGGTTCGGATTGAACATCGGCTGCGTTCTCCCATGAACGAGCTAGCACTTTCACACGCACATACGAGAATAGAACCTACGCGTTCACACGGACAATGGACAACGTACACATAACAGATGCGGAGAAAGGAATACGGTTCCTGATCAAAAAGCACGCCAAATTCATGGATGACAAGTCAGCAACGTGTCCGTCTTATGTAGATGCGCAGGAAGGTAAGAATGCACGTGCCCTTCACCGGGCAGCTGTCCAGGCTTCGAAAGCGGGGCACGTGCTACATGATGAATACTCCTGGTTGTAGTTTTAACGGTCCCAAAATGATTCATAAAAGTGTCCCTGTTTGAAACCAATCAAGGGTATTGAAAACGATCCCAAAACTACCACCCAGCACTATCTTACCGAGCTCCAGGCCTGGTGTACATGGCGATAGCAGAGACCGGCGACGGTCAATGCAAAAACTGAGACCCCACTCCTGGAAAGCGCGCTTCAGGCAGGATTCTCCAAGGTTTAGGGGAGGTGTCCGACGTGTCCCTATTCTGGGGTCCTTCTGATAGCGGTGCTCGGATACCAGGTCTCATTACATTTGGGGGGCAAATATTTAAGACTCCCCCCCAAATATTTGAGACTCCCAGATCTTTTCCATGAGCAGGTGGGGTTTTCCCTGTGGGCTGCTTGTCTATGCGACCGGGGCGCGAGAGGGAAGCAACCAGCGGCGTGTTATCTGGAGGCACGGGTGCTGGTGGAGGTGTTGCCTCAGTCTGGCAATGTCAGCACCCCGCCAACATGCACCATGTGCAAGGACTTGTGACTACGATGAGGTTCGACAGAAGCTGGCATGCCAGCAGGCATCCTGAAAGTTGGGGTTTAGGGTTTAGGGTTTCCCCAACGGACTGTTGCAGATAAGGCAAGCGCAATCACGAATGTAGTGAGGTGGGACACGAGGCACCAAGTTCCATCCAAGGGCCTTTGCCAGGCGGGGCACACAGTGACCAACACTGAAAGCACTCGTGCCCAATCGATCTCAACCTGTAGCACTGCAGAGTTTGGGGATCGAAAACATGGGCCCTTCTTGGTACCCTGGACTAGGAAAAAACTCAAATAGAAAGTGAACAGGGCCCACGATGTTGATGAACCCCCATTTGGTTTTCTTTCCAGCGCCCGAAAGCGTACTAAGGCCCAGACGCGACCTGCAGCGCTCTCAACTGCCAGTGATCAGGTATTTCCGTCCCAGCATCAGACCACATCCCGCTCACCTCAAGGCCACTTGACCCGGGTTTAGGGTTTAGGGTTTAGGGCTGTCAGCCGGGGCAAGTAGCTTGGTCCAGCCAATAACAGCGCTGTCCAGGCGGCAGCTCGTCGTTCGAGAGTCCTGAAGATCGCCAGGATCCGCAGGGCTTCGATGACAACGTTGCGGTTCAGGGCTTGTTAGGGATTTCAGGGTTTGCAGGGAGTGCTTTGGGCTTAGGTGCAAAGGTACCGCAATGAGATGGGCGCATCAACCTAGACAACCACATGAAGCTGCCGATGGGGGCCTCCTGTGTTTTGTTTAGGATTTGTTTTAAGAATCAACTCTTCATCCCGGGTGCCGGTCTAGGGTGTACCTGGGGATACCGGAGGACTGAAAAAAGCGGCCGCGCAAAAACACCGGCCGCTCGGATGGGCCATGAGTTTTTCATTTCCTCTGCACCAGCGCAAAAAAGTGGGCGCTTTACGCCTTTTTTGCTCGAGTTTTTTACGGGAAAATGTCGACATAATGTTGACATTTGTCGGGTTCCGTACGGTTTTTGTTTCTTGCAGGAAAAACACATTTCCGACTGGAGGATCAAAAATCAGGCCGCTTTCGCTGCCAGAAAAAAATATTTCTAAACTGAATACGGCCGCTTTACGGGGAAATCCGGATTTGACAAAAAGGACGCTAAAAAGTGGCCGCGAGTACCTCCAGGTAGGGTTTAGGGTTTAGGGTTTAGGGTTTAGGGTTTAGGGTTTAGGGTTTAGGGTTTAGGGTTTAGGGTTTAGGGTTTAGGGTTTAGGGTTTAGGGTTTAGGGTTTAGGGTTTAGGGTTTAGGGTTTAGGGTTTAGAGTCAGCTGCCGATGCTCCCCGTGAAGCAGATGGGGTCTAGGGTTGAGGGTTTAGGGTTGCTTGCCATGCTCTGTGCATCCAAGGGTCGTATGGCAATCGGGGTCAGAAGCCCAAAAATCTCAGCCACGGAAACGCGGCCATGCGTTTCCTCCGGAAGGACTGTGAAACAACGGTTGCCTTCCGATCGAAGCACCAAAAGAATCCCACACGATGCCGGAACCCGTGCGCAGTGGAAACCCTAAACCCTAAACCCTAAACCCTAAACCCTAAACCGAGGCAACCTGGACCTGTTGCTCGCTGCTCCTGCATAAGGGAGATCTCCACCACCGGCGATCTGAACGTAACCTGAGTCTGGGGAGTTCTCTGCACCTGGGGAACCAAATGAACCCTAAAATTGGGACCATATGCCCTCTACTACTAGAATCCTTTTTAGGGTATATGAACCATAAACCCTTTTAGGGTTCATTTGGTTCTCAGGGCAACCCTTAACCCTAAACCGATTCTCACAGTGGAGCTCTGCAATTGTTGGTGCTTTCAGTTGTCAACATGTCAGGAGACTTCCATGATTCTATGAGTGCTCTAGATGTAATTTAGATGCCAACTCCTGTAAGTTAAGAAGGCCCAGAGATGGGCCCAAACCCTTGAGGTCGAACGCCACACTGGGCGCCGCACTGGCCCGTCGGAGGAACGGCTGGACAGGTGATTCACAACGCTGCTGTCCATCATCCTAGTTCATTGTTGGGATAGTATTAAAAATCAAAATTTGTATTCCTCATTGGGTTCAAGTACCCTGAAAAATGTAAAATGTTACCCAACTATGACAGAGCATCACGGTGCTCAGCCAAGGTGTTGCATTCATTGATAGATCCGACACCTCACGGCAGAGGCTATATTCATTTCTAGGTTAGAGGCCGTGCATGACGGGTCTGACGTATGTTGGGTCATCTCGTCCCACATTGTGCTGCCCAGGCACAAGGCTGGGTGGAACAGACACCTTGCAATTGGGTATTTCAGGTAAGTTTCCGACTCAAGGTGCTCCCAAGTCTGCAGGCTCTCTCACAAAGTGGCTCTCTGATGCGGAGCCTCGCTAAAGAACTTTCCCCTGAAACTCATGGAGGCGAGCCGCGCGTACAGGCGTAGACATGGCAACGCCGTCCGAACTTCCGGCCTCATGAGAGGGGACGTTAGGGTTTAGGGATTCATGGGTTTGGGGTTTCGGTTTTGGGGGTGTACAACCCTTTTTTTACGGCTAGGACTGCTGCACTGCCTGCCAGGGACGAAAACCATGCCATTCGAGAGCGAGCTTCGCGGACTCTGCCGCGCTGATCACTCAGGAAGTGTGTCTAGATGTACACCCTAAACCCTAAAAAGGATTTGGAAAACAACTAGAGCAAACCTGAAGCTCCTTCTTGAGACATCCAGGGTGAGTACAGGTGAGCCCAGGTGCTTGCGTAGCTTGTCCACCCAACTTCACAAGAGATACCTAAGTGGGTTTAGGGTTTAGGGTTTAAAGGGTTTAGGGTTTAGGTACCTAAGGTAACTGCCGAGCCGTCCAAGAGTTCGTGCACGGAAGCACCACGGACACACTTCGGAGCCAAGAAGCGTTGCCTGTGCTTGTGATTGCGTTCCGGGACGACGCTCCATCCACCACTGCCTTCACGGCCTCTTGCAATGACTCCTTGGCCCAGTATACAGGGTTTAGGGTTTAGGGTTTAGAGCTAGGGCCCCCCAACTTTGGATTCTGAAACACCTACTCGACACCTCAAAGGTGGGAACTGGCCCCTAACCGCAAATCCTAAGAAGTCCACACCTCGAACGTATGGATTGAGACTCCACCCTGAACCCGAAATCCTAAACCCCAGAGGTCAAAACAGGTGGCCCTACATTAAATATAAGAAACCAAAAGGGAACCACATTTTGATAAATTCCCATGTGTGCTTCGGACTACGATTCTTTCCCCGCGATCGAGATCCTCAACAATCCTCTTTAAATCCCGATGATATCACTACCTGGGGAACCAAACGGACCCAAAAATTGGGACCATATGCCCTACAAACTGGAATCCTTATCAGGGTATATGAACAATAACCCTTTGGGGTTCATTTGGTTCTCAAGGTAATTCAACCCAGGGCTCCTATGAACTACCGCCAGAAAATATCCGCACAATCTGAAAGCAGACAGTTTGCCGGGACCAGGGCCCCCCCTCATTTCCCCCCAGGAGGCGCCCCCCAGCCCCCCCCTCACCCCACCCCCCCCCCCCCAGCCCCCCCCCAGCCCCCCACCCCCCCCCCACCACCCCCCCCACCCTCCTGCCCCCGCTTTGGCTTGAGGAACCTTGAACCCTAAACCCAAAACCCAGACCTTGAGCCCTAAGCCCTCCACCCTCAACTAACCCTCAACCCTAAACCCCAAACCATAAACCATAAACCCGACCCTTGGCCGGGCCGAGGCAGGTCGCGCAGCGTTAAAATGATGTACCCTAATGACATGGAACCTTAATCAGGAACTTCAATAGGTGTCCTCGTATCGATTACCATGAAGGGCGGGCTCATCCTTTCGCAAATCTTGACAGTGTCTCATGTACGGATTCTCCGGGCCTGTCCTTATATCGTTACCATGAGGGGTCTTATGTTCATCCCTACTAAAGTAGGCCTCATTCTCGCAAGTAAGAAACCCTCAACCCCCAATCCCCGACTTTCCGAAGAGGCGTCTCGCATCAGGGCTCCCAAAGGGGACGCCGAATCGATGTTGGGCATAACGAACGCGCCCAACCTCGGACGTTCTTTCCGGGACTCCGATGGGCCCCTCGGCTTCACGGAGAGGTCAGAAAGTACTGTGTATGAGGACTTGTACCATACTCCGGTTCTGGAACCTATAAATATGTACATAATATGTGTATATATACATATATATATAATGTAAAAAAAAATATATATATATATATTACATATGTGTCTGTAAGTGTCTGTAAGTGTCTGTATGTGTCTGTATGTGTATGTATGTGTATGTATGTGTATGTATGTGTATGTGTATGTATGTATGACAGAGAAAGAGAGAGAGAGAGAGAGAGAGACTTTCAGGGTTATTCTGCATTCTATGTTTCTGAATATACAAACGAATAACTCAAATGACTAACACATTTTGAACATGAACACCAAATGAAACAGTACAAGCGCAGGTTCAGCTTTGAAAGTTTCATGGGGGGCAACTATTGGAATTGATGGTAATTAACGTTCGCAAAAAGAGTTCTGACAAGTTGCTTGCCGAATAAGTTGACCGGGATCTAAAGAATTCAATTCGCAAAACCTGCTCGTAAAATCTTATCGAAAATACATAATCTCATGAACCTTTACAAGACCTGATCTGGGTGCCAGACCCACAAAACAAATCTAGTTCATGCAATGCATTCAACTAATTTAACGACTGTAGTCGATGTACTTCATGTAGTTGTCGCAACGTATTGATTAACCTGCGCCTGATGAGTAGCCTGAGAGAAGGCAGCTCACTCAAATTGGGAGACTCTGAAAGGGTTCATATTGGTTGATTGAACTCATTCATGTATTGGCCCTCCGTTGAACGAGTTAACATAAAGGATGATCAAAAAGGATGATCAAAACTGGCTTTGCGAATCTCACTATCTTTACTGACATACTTCAATTCATTGACAGTCAGTTAGAGACAAGTATTGAGCTCAGCCATGCACTTGAGGGTCAAATTACTACATCAGCAGGTAAACTAAATGTCACTCAAACTATGGCCTCTTGAACTGTGGGGGCCCATAGGTCATGGGTACCCTTTTAAGGGTCATTGGTCAGCAAGCCTTCCCCCACCAGGGTCTTTATGAAGCCAGGTCCCGACAACTTCATTTTTTTAATTGCACGCTCACAAGTTGACGGAGGCTGTGCGTTCTTGACCTGCTGCTATGACCTTGCTACTCGCTAAAAGCATTCGCACGAGGGGCCCCGAAGAAGTCGCCTTAGTGGTCAATTGTGGTACCTTCTTTTTGCGGGTGCTTTCGGGCGGGGCTCCTGGGACGCTATATAACATGCTGCCAAGATTCACCGTCGTGGTAGTAGTAGTTGAGCTCACCTGATCCACACGGGGCGTTTAGACCAGGGTTTAGGGATTCTCAAAACGAGGGGTCCCCAATTGATGAATAAAGAACTTACCAGTAGTGTTTTGGCGCGTGTCCCCCGCACCCAAAATCTTGGCATGAGAGGAACTCTCATGTGCACCCGACATGCGGACAATGCATACCAAGCGGCGGTGGTGGTGGCCGTAAGACTCGTGAGAGTGGATGTGGTCGAACTCGTTGTCGTACCTGAACTATAGGACTATGTTCCGCAAGGAATCCGCACACTCTGCTCCTTGTCACGCATCATACTTGACGAACTTCAACGAAATCGACGATGGCGCTGGTGGAGCTCGTGCTGAGCGTCGAAGAAGAGCTCTTCGATGTCGTTGTACTGGACGATGTGGTGGATGTACTCGAAGAGCTGATGGTGCTGCTCATGCTTGAACTGCTTGTGGTTGTGCTGCTCGACGTCTTGCTGGAAGTAATCGAGGTTGATGCCTGTGGGGGCGTACGCAAGTCCGAAAGAAGTCGCGCTACAAGTCATCGACAACTACATCATGTCAAGGCGACTCACGGTAAGACGCCGGCAGTGCTCGTGATGGTGCTGCTCACGCTCGTTGTGGAAGTTGATGATGCCTGAGATCACGAACCACATGTATGTGCTGACCACTTTGAGAACGTACTGAAACCCTCCACTCGCGTGGACCCTGAACCTTCGACAGCGCTGCCTGTGTGGCAGTGGGGGCGGCTGCGTCGTGGCACTTTTCAGACTTTGCACTGTGGCAATGTCTGCAATGCGGCGGGCGGGCGGCAATGAAAGTGCGAGATCTTTCTCACAAGCGACTGTGCTGAAACCGGTGCAAGGCAGCTTCAAGTGTCCGCGTCTGACAAATGTTTCTCTCCAACTGAACCTCCAGCAAGCCCAATACCCGTAACTAAGGAATATATATATATATGTGTATGAATTCATGTATGTTCCTTAGCTCAGGGGTTTTCCTTCGCCCCTCGTTCCCTCTCAAGTCTCTCTTCTCCAATAACCTTGCTCTGAGCCTCCCTCTAGAATTCAACCAAAGATTGGAGCTGTAAACTACGCCTTGCTTTGACAGCAGCTACCCGAAAAAACACATACCAATTTACGGTGTATCAGGGTTTAGGGTTTCACCACGACGCACTGCAACCTAAGGCCAAGACAGTGCTGGTGCTGGTTGTCGACGTCTGGGATCTGCTTGTCGTACCTAGGTCCACAGCAAAGTTTCCACAATTCCTCAGACTGAGACTACTTTCTTGTTGTACTTGCAGACGGCACCTGATCAAACAACTCTTTACCATTTTAAGAACAGCTACTTGTGGCGGTGCTGCTGGAAGTGGACGACGAAGAAGATGTGGTGATGCTTGTGCTCGTGGTGTTTGTGTTCGTGGTGCTTGTGGTTGTGGTGCTTGTGGTTGTGGTGCTTGTGGTTGTGGTGCTTGTGGTTGTGGTGCTTGTGGTTGTGGTGCTTGTGCTTGTGGTGCTTGTGCTTGTGACACTGGTGCTGATTGTGGCTGTGCTGGTGTATGTGAAACTTGTACTGCTGGCCGTTGACGTAGTTCGGGTGGCTGTAGATGATGTTGATGTAGTTCCGGTGATGGTAGAGCTGGTGGATACAGTCCTAGATGTAGTCGTTGTCGTGGTCCTCACAGGTGACAGCCAAAGGACGTTCCGCGAAACCCTCCAAACGTGCTCGTTTCAAAACTTAGGTCTAGGTAAGAAGCCAACGGGTGCGAAAGACGACAGTGCTTGACATGGTTTGGAACCCCCCTAAATGCCAGACAGGGAGAAGAGAAGATGAGTAAAGCACCTTCCCTAGATCCTAAACCTTAATCCCTAAACCCAGCCTCAGGTCCCAGGGGCATATCTTGAGCTCAAGGATTCATAACACCAGGCACATCAAGAAAAGTTATCTACGAACAGCATAAAGCTGAAAAGCCTATCTCTTGGTTGCATCTGACATCCTGGGCCTCTATGAGAACTGATCTGCCTGTTGGCTTGATGGCATGGTAGTTGGCATGGAAGCGGCTGAAGCATTGACTAGCCCCCCCGGCAAAATGCGCCTCGCATCCAGTATCCATACCTCAGCTGCCACGAGGCAACAGAGTCCGATTTTCCTTAATTATTAAAGAATATAGCTCCTTAATGCCATACTGGGCTCTCTGAAAACCTGTCCAAGTTCGCAACCACAAAGGGCCATCCAACTGCCCCAAAGAAAGACATACAAATACACGTGCACTGTGTGGGGAATACATCTTCTACGGCGTAACCCCCCCCCCCCCCCCCTTTTGCACACACAGTGCTCACAACGAATAGCCCGCTCTTCCACACAATGGTCGTGCGAAGGGTTTGGAAGGGGTTCATATGCTTTGAAACGGTACCTGCCATTTGCAAACACAAGCTCACACAACAGTTGAGGGGGGGAGTGGGGGGGTTGCAGGGGGGTTGCGAGTTTGGGGTTGGGGGGTTGTTGGGGGATTGATGGGTTTATGCTTTGAAGCACCCCCGCCCCCGCCCCATTGCAAGAGCCGAGCCAAGCCAAGCCAAGCAGCCAAACCAAGAAAAGCCCAGCCAAGCCAACGAGCCAAGCCGAGCCACACCTTTGCAAGGGGACGTGGCCGAGCCACACCTTTGCAAAAAAACCTGGGCCCTGCAGGCTTCCATGGACAAAAAGACTGTGTTTTGCGACAGTTCGTACGCTTTCACGTTCCAACTCGCTGCGTGCTGTAGCAATTCACTGGCTTTCACGAGCTGCTGTGGCTCAATCTTGCGGATGTCTTGATATGACGCTTCCCCCCAACATTCCCAAATTTGATATGTCGCTCTGCTTGCTGGCTCTCCATCATTTCATGTGATGCATTGGGGCAAGGATAATATCGAAGATCGTGTTGCTGTGAGTGGGGGCGGGAGGGGGCGGGAGGATGGGGCGGGACGAGGGGGGCGGGGCGGGAGGAGGGGGGTGGGATGGGAGGGGGCCGGACGGCAGGGTAGGGGAAGGGGGGGGGGATTGTTGTGGAACATGTTTCATTTTGTTACTTCCTTCCCTCTCCTCCTCCCGGCGTTCTATCTTCCTCCCTTCCTTCCTTACGGAGCCCATGCCCCACAAAGTGAAACAACATGTTCGGAAACTGCAAACGTCAACTGGCTACGGCTTTAACAATCGCAACTCGTCAAATCCGAGTACCATCATATCTTCCTGGCCGGAGGATGTGTGGGAAGGCACAGCCTCTCCACTGCGCGTAGTTCCACCTGAGCCATGCTGATCACAACCTCAATAACACAGTTCTATACCCGAAGGAACAAGAGCTTCTGCTTCTGTTTCTGCACAGACATCCCCCCCCCCCCCAATCCCCTACTACTGCGTTTCTGTGATTCCTGACATGGTGATGAGCCTGATTCATGGGACGCCACCCCCACTATACCTCCTCCTTTGCTCGCCCTTTACGTTGCCCAGAGGATGATCAGGGCCAAATAGGCCCAATTACGGGAGCCATGAAGGAACCTAGACGAGGGGATGGCATAATGGGGGATCGGTGTGGGGGGTCTGTTATAAGGGTCCTCTGGGGATTGCAGGAGGCCTCCATGTTGACACATAAACAAGCTTGAACAGGAGCACTGTCAACACTTCGGTCTGGCTTGCATTCTTGGTGCAGTCCCTTGGATGGGAGCTGCTAGGCCCAGAACATGCAGACAATTGCAAGCCTGGCCACCTACGTAGAAGATTTCCCCAGGTGCTGCGATAGCTTTTGCGGTGAGCGTGCGGACGTCCGTAATTTCAGCCCAGATCATGTGACCATCCTCTGTGGACAGACTCTTCATCTGCACTTCCGTGTTCTCGCCGGCAGCCGAAAGCAGCTGTTGCGCTGAAGCAGCCCAGGTTAACGCATCAGCGCGCGCGGAGGAGTCAAAATTGGTCCATTGCAGCGATCCGGCGTCATTCAACTTCAGCAAGTAGTAGTATTGCGTGTCCTGCTGGGTTTTGCATTCATTATATACTGAAAAGGACAAATGAGACAACCCCCGATTCCTCGCATCACTATCACCCGCGCTGATTCAGTTGGGAACCTTCCGGAAGACACTTGCTACACACCAAGAAGGAGCAGCATCCACATCTCTGTGGGGTACCTAGCTTGTCGTTTGCAGACCCGCTCCTGGGATAACGACTTCCCGTTGAAGTTTCCGGCTGAACCATCTGCCCTCATCCATCCGCTAGTGTAGATGCTATCCGACGCATCTGCTGCCACTGCTCGAAGCCATCCCGAGGTTCTATCGGAAGAAGTCGGGGTAACAGGATACATCCAAAGCTGATTTCCCGAGTTGTCCACCTTGAGGATGAATCCAGTTTCACAGACCGTCACGAACCCGTCACAACCTCACAAGCAGAGCACCACAAGGACGTTCAACATGCCAAGCAGCCCATATTCAAGGCCTGTCTGCACAGCCATCCACAGGAATCACGAAGTCTGCTGGATAGTGATGTTTCCTACAATTCATCGGGGTGTTTCTTACCCCCCCAACTATAGTAGAATCCCCTTTTCTTTGAACCCAGACTGGACTGACTAAAGGAACCCTACGAGGGCACCCGTAATAGCGCAAACGCCAATTAAACGAAGCATAAGCCAAGTTGCCATCTGGAAATGTTTGGCCTGCCCACGGTTGCGCATAGTTATATCCAACCACGATGGCATTGTCCTCAGATTTCGGTGACGTCCAATAGGACAGTGAGGACTCTTTGGGCAGATTCGGGTGACTCAAAGTCCTTATCATGCTGACAGCTTGTTGCTTGCAAGAGAAGCATGGCCTAGAGATGACACAGATTTGGGGAAGTGCCCCCCCCCCCCCCCATAACCGCTCCCCAACCCCAACAACAAAACAACAACACCAAGAACAAACAAGAATAGCTGGCAGCATCCAACATGGACACCAGCACAGCTCAGACCATACATGCGCAGCTGATGGTGCGGATGCCTTGCGCCAAGTCCAAGAAGCAGCTACAACGGATTCGTTGCAGTGCGCAACGATCTCAAGGCAGTCGCAGGGTTGGACCGTCGTTTGCAAAAAAATAGGACGGGTGTCTTGGGACAATCAACACCAGCTCTGTAGGATGGATATCAGGTGCTCTAGGATGAAATTCAAAGTACACATGGCATCTTGGACCAGCAACAAGCCACTATAGGGCAACTTCTTAAAGGTCAGGGAACACTGCGCAGCGAGATAGCGAAAGTTTTTCGGCAGCTTGAGCAGACAACTGAGACAATGGAGAGCACGCACGTGGGCCCTATGCAGTGGGGTCTTTTTGAGCACAATGGAAACGACGGCACATTCTATGGAGGCAGTGCTAGTGCACTGCGTGGAGGGCGAGAGATCCAGAACATCGAATGACAAGAGCTGTAGGCAATGAGGTGCTTGATCGCCTTGCACAACTCAGCTGCCCACTGACACACCGAACAGAACCGAAAGTGAGTGGCTCAGATGAACTCTCATGCCAGCTTCATCGGGCGTGGAAAGAGTTGGCTCAGGAGATTGCTGGACTGATGCGATGCGGCACGGCACAGGAGCAAATGGAAAAACTCGAATGCGCTCAACCTGAATCCAACCTGACTCCTGCCACCCTCGTGGCACCCCAGAGGCGAGGAGTGAGAGGACCGAGTCTCAGGTGAGACGGAAGGACCCTGGGGTGCCAAAAGGCAACTGGAAATTTCTTCCAGATGAGGGTTTTGGGTTTAGGGTTTAGGGTGCCAGATTTAAACAGAAACCTGGCAAGCCATGGAAGGTAGGTACAGCTTGGTGCAGGCAGTCTTTGGTATGTCAGACAGTGTGCGTGGAGTTCCCGGAGTTTGGCCAGTTCACGCTTGCTCATGAGCGTTATGAAGCCAGGATGGCAGGCACGTGACATCGAGCCGCTAGATGGGGTGGAAGAGCAGTTCAAGCCTCATGAGGCGGAAGCTCGCTGCATCGATGAAGGTACTTTACCCTGAAGAAAGGCGGCAGTCGTATTTGGCAACGCACAGATAACCTCCACAGCTCTACAACCAGAACTTATGATTCTTGTTGAACCTGGAAGGAAGCAAAAGGTCACCCTAAACCCTCAACCCTAACCCCACATCGCTCTTTGAAGATTTTCCCCCCGTGGCATTGGCAGAGCAGAGGGCATTGCTGGACTCAGAGGTGCCAAGGACCACCACCGAGGTCCTAAAACCCCAATGCCCCTAAAACCCGAACAAAACCCTAAAACCCCGAAAAACCTCTCTCTCTACTAATAAACCCTGATTTTCTAAATGGTGGAAACCACTATAAATCCTACTAACACCTGAACCCTAAACCCTAAAGTTTGCAAAAGCGCAGCTGAGCCGTTCCAGTGTCTGGTCTTGGATTGCTGGAGTGACTCGTGCCATCTGAACTTGGGTTGATGGCACGAGGTCCCCGTGCATGTCTTGATGATGGGGGCGGCTTAGGGTTTATTTAGGGTTTAGGGTTTAGGTTTTTTTTTCGGGTTTAGGGTTTAGGGTTTAGGGCTTACGGTTCAGGGTTTAGGGGGACGATCGAAGGACCCTACGCTTGGACGTGGCAACTGGCCTGACATGTGTTCGCTGGATGGCTGTTGTCGAGATCCGAAAGCTAGCGATCCGACATTGAAAGCTGCAATGTAGACAAGAATGTGCTACAAAGGTAGAGCGGGAGAGAACCCTTGCTTGTGGACATGGACGGGGTGACACAGGGAGCTTTGCAAGGCATGGAGGACCATGGCAAAGCCCGGACGTTGAGGTTGGAGGCTAAGTACACCTCCCTTCCTTGCTCATGGAGAATACGAATCCTCGGCGTGGCCAGGCGTATCACACCATGTTGCATCCTACCTTAAGATACCTTTTGGTAGGTTGCACAAGAACCCAAGAAGGGGGTTTGAGCATAAGAAGCTACACACTAAACCCTATACCCTAAACCCAAACCCCAAACCCTAAACCCTTTACCCTTTTGCCACTTGAGGTCCAGCCAGTACACATGCAGCACCGCCACTCAAGATCTTCATGAGGGCAGACCTAGTGATACGCTTGGCTCATCTACCAGTCAAGCTACATGGGAAGAAACAAGCTGACAACCCTCCTAGTGCTCGAATAGGAAAGGGCCCAGCGAAAGCTCACATCAGGTTTGCTCTTGCATAGAGGAAGCGCCAGAAAGCTGAGACTGCAGAAGCAACCTCTCCTGACGTCGACATCGCTTCATGGCGCTCACGAAGAACGGTCAGGGAGTCCGATGGCTGCGTTCCTCCAGGGTCGCAACACATGTTGTTGTGTTTGACGGGGGAAGGGGACGTCTCCTGGCTCGCTGCTGTTGCTGTGGCCCTCCATCTCAGAGAACCTGACCTCATCCTCCTTGATCTTGCGCTCCATTGTTGTTCTGAACTGAAGCCCCCTCATCTGGTTCACCAACTGAACGATGGTATCCTCAGCCTTCTTCACAATAGCCCCCGCCACTGCTTCACAATCACGGTCGGTGTATGTTCTGTCAAGCGTCTGTGTACAAACACTTGAATGCTGTGTCTGTGGTACTCGGCCTGCTGGCCCTGCCACATGATTCAGCTCGTCCGGTGTCGTCTGTCGTACGGAAACAGGCTGATCACCGTCCGAGATTCTGGATTCTGTGTCAGGTACAGCATCGCCTCTCGGAGACATTGAACTACAGACCATCGTTCCGACGCTTGAGCTCGACGAATGGCGTAAGCTAGGCTCGAACACAGCTTGCCATGGGAATTCATCGGACGACGCGAAGAGGGAAGCGAATCGGGGCTTGCTTTGTTTACACCTGGTAGGCTTGAGCCTTGAGCCCTAAACCCTAAACCCTAAACCCTTAACCCTAAACCCTAAACCCTAGGTAGACTCTGAGTCGCAGACTGAAGAATCCAGAACCATGTCCTCCACATGCTCCTTCCCAGGGGATCCTGCAACGCAGTCCAATGCCGCTATGTCACGGTTTTTTTGCCACCCGCCTAGCTGACTCACGGGGTTTAGGGTTCAGGGTTTAGGGTTTGGGTGTTGATTCGTGATTTGTGATGGCCGTGTCGCCATGATGCTTTTGTCATTCTGGGGCCTAGCTGTGAAACACGATCACGTGCATAGGGGTCGCAGTTCGCCCAAGGTACTCTAGGGTCGGAAAAATTACTAATTACTAAGAGTACACTATTATGGTCCCTTTATCATATACAAAAAGAACCCCCCCAAAACCTTGTTCTAAATGTTAAGGCCCCATAAGGCGACTGTATTAAGGCATGAAATCGGATAGCCTCCACTCACGCTGAAGGGGCGCTATCTTTTCGTCTTGGCCAGAACGTTGTCTATGATGCAGTTTGATTTCAAGTTCCAACCAAGACCAAGCAGCCACAAGCAAAATGCAACATGGGCCAGGCAACATGTAACTGGCATGCTCCTGTTTGAAAGCTCCACTGGACAATGCCGTTCGTGTTGTACTTCTGGACGAAGACCTGTGCAGCTGGAGTGCTGCCAAAAACTTTCCTGGCATTCCGGCAGTCAAGGCGAGTCACGTCATCGCTGCCGGCGCTGGCAAATCCGGCGAAGGCTCCGCCAATGACGCCCGCAACAATCAGATCACCCGAAGAATCGATGGAAACGCCTTGCGAAATCTTCAAAACCCTAAACCCTAAACCCTGAACCAGCTTCTTGTGTGTGAGGCAACTCTCGCTGCAATCCCCTCCCCCTGAAGATCACAATTTCCAAAGGGTCCATGTACCCATATGGGAAACACTTGGGCCCTAATGCTACTATATGGGAACCCCCTTTCAGGCCCAAGTATATACTATATAGGTACATGGACCCTTTGGGATTTAGTGTACCGGCCATTATAGAGGATTTAGCACCGGCTGAGGGGATTAGCGAATCCCAAACCATCTAATTTCAGGGGTGTAGGGCAGGGTTTAAGGTTTCATCTTGGGATGTTCCCCCTTATGCTAATAGTCCTAGAAAGGGATGAAAAAATTAAGGACTGTTAGCATACGGGGGAACATCCCAAGTTTCATCAGCTGAGGTGCGGCTTACAGTCCCGCCGCCGTTGAGACCATCGAGGCTGACCATCCATTGCCGACATCCAGTGCTGTTGTACTTCACCTTCGCTCGGCCCTAAACACTTTTTGAACCCGTACTGAGGCCGAGGCGTGTGACGGGAAAGTCTCTGCTGGCCCTAAACCCTCAGCCTTAAAACCTAAACCCTAAGCCTTCTATATACATGCCCCAGGAATGCAAAGGTGCTGAGAGCACAAGAGGCAATTTCCATAGTACAAGGAAAACCTGTCCTGCAGCCTCGACGTCCGAGATCGCTGAAGCAATCAATAGAGAGTCTAAACCCTAAACCTAAGGGTTTAGGGTTTAGGGTTTCGGGTTTAGGGTTTCGGGTTTAGGGTTCACGCTGTGACAGTCCCTTTGATCACGAGGACACAAGGAGACCCTAACACACCGACCCATGCCGACAATGGGCGTGTCCGGGGACTGCATACGGAGAGCGGCAGCGCAAGTACCCAGGATAGATTAGTGAAACTTTACGGGCACACCATGGAAGCGGCTGTGGATCATGATTTCACTACAGCGGCTCTCGCAAGCCAACCTTGCACTGCTTCTGTCTGAGTAGGGAGAAAATAGATAACCCTTTAAGCAGTCCAAATACGGGAAAAACAACGACCATACATCCCAACCCCGTGGCTTCTTCCAACGTTCATGCTTTTTCATTGGTGTATCATAGCACTTTTAAGATAACTCGGGCTCGGCGGGCTCGGGTTATCATGATTGCAATGTTGTGTTGTCGACATTGCTGCTGTTGCTGCCATGCTGCTAGCGCTATCATCGTGATTCTGGTGCTTGTTGTCATTCGCATGCCCGGGAAGTAGATGACCAACCATGATTGCTCCTACTACTTTATCAACATTTGTACCGATGCGGCAGAAGAGCAAGGGGGCTGTTGACTCATCAGCTGAGAGAGAGCACTAGCCCTACCAGCTATCATGCACATCCGAATCAAACACTTAAGTCTTCTTATCAACCACTGGCACAAGCACGTCAAGGCAAACTCATTTGCAAGCAAAGCACCAGTATCGAATCCGTAGCTGGGGCAGAGCCCCCTGAGTGCCCTTTCGGGCCGACGGCATAGACGCTGTCACTCCTCGAGGGCTGGGGCAGGAATATCGGCAGGGGCAGCTCAAAGCTGGTTTGTGTTAGATCCAATCCCTAAACCCTAAACCCCTAAACCCTAAACCCTAGCCCCAGCGCCACCTTCGAGGCCCAAAACATAACCCAGTCACCCATGGTAACTTGCAGCAATCCCTCCCAGACCGCGGGACCATCTAGAACGTAGAACCCCCAATTCTGTACCGTTTACTACTATATACTGGGTACTTTATGGGAATTTTTAAGGTGATCTACTTTTCTAGATGCTCCCAGGCCTAAAAACAACCCTGAAGCCCTAAAGCCCTCAACCCTAAACCCTGAACCCAGTAGAGAATCCTCCCTTCAAGGACTCCTGAAACTCTTTCGAGAAGGGCATCTTCAGGTTTCGGGTTGAGGGTTTACGGCTACCCTAGAGTGACTTAAGTCGCTTTGACCCCCAAACGAGGCATTCATAGGGCTCCTGGTATAGCGTCAGCAAGGGAGAGGCTTTTTTTTAAAGGCTATTTTGGGAATATACAGTGAGTATTTGGTTGCCGTAGCCCCTAAAAGCGAGGACCCGTAGAACAGTCATATGTCAGTCTGTGGTCATGTTTTCTGGGGTTCGGACATCCAACTCATCCGTGCAAGTTAAGCTGTTGGTCGGCGGGGGAGGGGTCGTTCTTTTGGAAGAGATTGCGGGGTCATTGTAGGTTCCAGCACTCAGACCCGGGGAGGATCTAGAAAGTAGAACCCCCAACTTTGTACCCTTTACTAATATTGTGCACTTTATATCCCACAAGGCGATCTAACTTTCTAGATCCTCCCAGCGGTCTGGGATTATAGGGTCTAAGACCCACTGGCTCATAGTCACTCAGATAGAAACCCTAAACCCAAAACTCAAAACCCTAAACCCTATTGGAATCCCTATGTTGCGGAGCAGGGGTTGATGAATACCCTAAACGCCCCAAGTCCTAAACCCTTAGCCCCAAAACCCTAAACTCCAAACCCTAAACCCTAAAAACCCTAAAACCAAAAACCCCAAATCCCTTCACTCAGGACATCCCAGGCTCGCATCGACGGCTAAAGACTGGCACCAGTCGTGGCTACCACCTGGGGTTTGATCAAAGCAGCTTCTTGTAGGGTTTAGGGCTTCGGGGTTTTAGGGTTTAGGGTTGTTGGCTTAATGGGTTAGGGTTGATCAAGGCAGTTTATTCTAGGTTTAGGGCTTGGGTTTTTTAGGGTTTAGGGTTGTTGGGTTAATGGGTTAGGGCTTGGGGTTTTCCAACTTTTTTTCAGACCCCTGGGAGGATCCATGGCCGTTCTGGGAAGAAACAGCTTCCGCTGGAGATCGGATTTCAAAGGTCTCTTGGCATGGCTTTTGTGCATTTTGCCGTGCGCTGGTTCAGGCACAAAGGAACTAAACATGATTACAGGGATTCAAGTCTATGCGCTTTGTTCGCGAAGGTTTCCTGTTAAAGGAGTCTAGAGCCCCTTCGAAAGCAATATGGGGATTCCTGAAAAAGGAATTTTAGGGATGATTCCATGGACATTTTTGTAAGGCCTACACTAAGTGTCCTAGGATATGAGATCTGTTCGCACAGTTCCTTTAATCCAATGAAAGTTGATGTCTACTAAGAACGATGGTAGTCCCTACTATGGCCCTATTTACCCTATTTGCTATCCTGGACTCCAAAACCTTGCAGAATGCTCCCTAAACCCCGTGCTCACTTGGGTTGAGTTTTGCTATCGAGCATCACTGCGGACCCAGTTCGGAGGGGCACAAGAACTAGACGAAAACTCACGTAGATTGAGTAGAGTTTAGGGTTTATAGGGTTTGGGGTTTGGGTTCAGGTCACAAAAACTGTCCGCAAGACGTCTGCCGGGTTCCAGTAGCTTACTCGTGCAGCCCCCGTGGCTTCCGATCTGATCAGCTGCCAAGAAGGTGCCGGAGCTGTCCAGAGTAACGAACACGTAGTCCTTCTCTTGCAAGATTCGGAGGTTCCTTTTGGGGCTCCTTGTAACGAACCGGATAACAACTTTGAGAGATGTCCATCTTAATCCCAAGATCCCAAAGCAAAGTGAAAGCAAACTTCCCCGATGAACCGCCTATAGAATCTGTGGCATGAAGAACGGCGAAGCGTCTAGCAAATGTTGTGCTGAATGTGCGGTCAAGTCTACGGCAAAGCGGGTCCCAGGGCTATTGCTGAAAGAAGGAAGCTGTCAAAGCACATTCTGAGGCGGCCAAGGAACTGAATACCCTGCATTTGTGAAGCCTGGCCAGTCACTTTCCGTGGAACCACAAAGGTAGAAGTAGCCATTGGAGCCCACCTGCAACAGTGTAAAAGCTGACGTGCAAGTATTCAAGCAAAGTCCACTACAAGTGTGCATGTGCTCATGTCGAAACAATCAACTGCGGACCTAGACAGCTAAGAACAAGCAGCAGCATAATAATGGAATAATATCAAAATAACCATGATAGTCATAGCAATCATGAAAAATCATAACTTTCAGAATCGTAGTACTCATCATGATCATAACCTATACTCCCCTTAGAACCTTAACAAAAAGAATATGTTTAATCCCCTCCTGGGTTTTATATAAACAAAAATCAACAATAATTCCCCAGGGGATATAGTAACCATAAGCACTGCATGCCAAGAGCCCAAGTGAAAGAAGGGATAATGGTCAGATTGGATACGAACTGCAGCGGGATCACCGGAGCGCCCGCACACATGCATGCAGTTTTTTAATTCGTGGAATCTCAAGACTGGTGCAAGCAGTCTGACCACAGATCCTTTTGTTATATTTTGTTATCCGACACATGCACGTGCTGGCGACACGCCTGCTGTACGCTTTCGCACACCGGCCCACCTTCATTGAATTGGTTTTGTCCTTCATGCTCGCCCCAACTTGGTGGAAACTGCTCTCAGCAGCCCACGCGACTCCAATGAGGTCAAGGAGAATGATCCATGGGGAAAGCATCTCCCAGCACTTGCGATTTGGGCCGGCGAAAGGGATGCACTCACTCTCACCTGGGTCCTCCGAAGAAGGTGACTCTCGGGCCAAAAAAGGCTAAGCGCAAGGTGTGGCACATTACATTGCAACGCCAGTATCCGTTCCCGGTAGAATTTCTGCCCACGTCCAGCTGGACCAACGGTTCTTCCCAAGTAGGCTGACATCACCATGCAGCTTGGCTCCTGCCGCTTAACTGCGTAAGTGGCTCTTTCGTATTCGATGAACGGCCAATTTTCTAACATGGCTGGATGCTTTTCGCTCTTGACTCTCAGGAAATGCGAACTGTGTGGGTGTCAAAGAGCTCAACCTAGCAGACAAACGATCCCAAACGGCAAGCACTGCAAGGTGAAATGTTGGTCGAAAACACCTCTGCACAACTCACTATGGTCATACAGCCATACTGTATGACTCATGAACGCAAAACATGCGCTACACCCCCGAACAAACCAAAACCATGTACACACTTTTCCGACGCAATAGAAAACTCTGATTTGTATATGTTTGTGTCGTGTGGTCGCAGGTGCGTACAAACATTGCCATAATTCTAAAAAAGAGTATCGGGATGGTGTGGAGAGCTGTGAACCGGAACGATTTTTTATTGTCCTTATACTTGTTTCGTTTGTTGATAAATTGGTTAAGAATTTGCGATTGTTTGCCATCATGTCTCATCTTGTTCTAGAAATGTTTTCTCATAGTTTTCGCTTGCATAGGATCAATGGTGGCCAATCTTTCTTTTTCAATGACAAACCTTTTTTGAGAAACCTCACCAAAATCTACGTGCACAGCTACGCCCATCAATGAAGAATGTAGGGTTTTGGAAACGAGCGTTAAGGTATTCACAATGAAGCTCTATGATTTATTGAAGAATCCAGGATACTTTGGAAAGAATATGGAAAAGCTCCAGGGCTTTTGTTTTTCCACGAAGGTCCATGCCTTGTTGTGAAAATCTCTAGGATCTTCAGGCAAAGTCTTAGGCTTTAGGATCTTCAGGCAAAGTCTTAGGCGGTTGCCTAGATTGCCTAGATTTGTGAGAAAATACAGATGATTCTTTGTCAACATCAGAGAGCTTTTCAAAATGAAAGGGTTTCGACAAGATTTTCTCAAAGGAATCGATGTTTTTCAATAAACCAAAAGTTTCGAAGATTTGCAGTGAAAATCTTAGAAATTCGAGAAATGTTATCAACAAAGTTGGAGCTTCCACATCAAAACAGAATTTTGTTTTCCAAAAACTTGCGATTTGATAAAAGATCTCTAATCTTTCATCTTGCATCAAAAGATCCAGAGAACTCATTGGAAAGTCAATATGTGTTTTATATTTAAAAACCTTCACAAATGAAGCTTGTCTGGGTTGCCTCTGAATGTTTTTAATGAGCATGTATGATTTTCTGGTCGGAACATCCTGAAATCTTTCGTGACTTTGCAATCTTCTGAAAGAACATCCACGATTTGTGGAGAAAATCTACGATTTTGTGGTAAGAATACTGTATTCTTGGTTCATTATTTTTCTAAACATGTGTTTTTTTGGGATAGAGCCTTTGTACATTTAGTGAAAGATTGTAAGGAACAACTTCAGGCAACTTTGGGGGTTCTTAAGCTTTCAATGAACACCTGATTCAACTTAGGATTGTGGAGAGAATCTGGCATGGTTTTTTTTGAATGAAAGGTTTTCTATCATTATCTAGGATTTTTGGATAGAACCTAAGCCTTTTTTGGAAAGAAGAAGGAAAAGCTTTAGGATTGTGATAAGACGTTCAATGAAAGTCTATTCTTTTGGGGCCAAAATTCAAGAATTTCGGACCAACATCTCAATATGTTGATCAGCTGCTTGGATCAAAGATCTACGATTTGGGAGCACAATCTAAGAGTTTTGGGCCGCAAACTGGACGACATTTTGATATGCTTTTGGACTAAAACCTATGATTTTGGAGTAGAGTTCAAGAATTTTGGACCAGCATCTCAATATGTTGATAAGAAAACTCAAATGATTTTTTGGTGAAAAATCTAGAAAAATCTCAAAATGTTGATAAGACTTTGGATAAAATCTATAATCTATGATTCTGGAGCAAAAGCTCAAGAATTTTGGACCAAAATCTCAAGATTTGGATAAGGTCTTGGACACAAATCTATGAGTTTGGCGCAAATTCTAAGAATGTCTGACCAACATCTCAACATGTTGAAAGATGTTGGACAAAAATCTTGAGTTTTCAAGACAAATCAACTTTCAACCAAAATTCAAGATTTTTCCAAGAAGGATCAAACCTTGAAAAAGAATCAAGATTTTTTGATCCGGTATGATGTAAGTCCCGTTTGGAAGCTTGAAGCACACAGTTTCAACCGTTTCTTTTCAGGACGTCATGTGTGTTGTGGTCAGGAGTTGTAGACTGCAGGTAAACAGCACAGCTTCGCAAATTGGAGGAGTCCTTGATTGCTGGATCCATCCACAGCAAGTTGAACCCCAAGTGAGAACTGCCACCAGATAACTACTATTTGCTTAAGAACCCCAAGAGAATAAAAACAATAATCCTTATATTACCCTTAATAAGGAAGAATATGATGTGCTTTTTTTGCGGCTCTTCAGCAATTAGTAGATAAAGAACGCACAGCAACACCGATCCCGAAAACACCTTGAGACCTAGGCCACTACCCCCTGACAAACGCACAATGCTTGACCTGTTGAGGATGGGCATGCTGCTAAGCCCTAATCCCTAAACCCTAAACCCTAAAACGTTGCAAACGGGACTCCATGGGCCCTGGGGACTCATGAATCAGAGCGTTCAAGCTTGAAGCAGCGATTCGCCTAAGTTTGAATGGGATCGCATGTGTCGGTACGTCATGACCTGAGTTGTCCAGTAACCTGGGGGAATTAAAGGTTTACCTTTGGGATTACAAGGGGGTCATATTACCCCAAAAAGATTAAAGGTTACCTACTCTACTACTAGGTGATAGTATAAAGTATAGAGGCAAAATGTGTGGGTGCAGCAGGCGCTGGAGGCTGCGAATCCCAAAGTCTCTCTGCCAGTAGCTACTTTACAATGGTCTTCCCAAGTCCACAGACAACCCCTCCCCCCCCCCCAGTGAGTTTGACTGGGGCAGAGAGAGAATACGAATAAAAGCGTACAGCATAAACAAAGACAAAGAAACCCTAAACCCTAAACCTTAAACTCTATAAGCCCTAAACACCCAGCTTTTTCCTTTGAGATCACGCAGGTATGGAGTGCATGGCCAGTCTGCGGCTGCATGCCTCGGACCAGGCTTTACAGGTCCCGTGTGGCAGGCAGTCACGTGAGCAGCCCCTTGGCTCCAGGACTCAAAGGCAAGAGCTAGCTGGGGGTTTAGGGTTTAGGGTTTAGGGTTTAGGGTTTAGGGTAGGATTCCCTTTTTTTAACAAAGGACCACGATAAGGTACCTCTAAGTTCGGAAGCCCCCAGCTTGTGCGAGTCTATTTGATCCGTCTGCGAGTTTGACCTCCGCTCACTTCACTGGGAGCGGAAGCAGCGCAGACGAAAGTCGCTCCCGTCTGGCCGCTGGCCCCAGGGCCCCAAGCCTCTGACAAGTGAGGTCCGCAGCTTCCTCTGCAACACTTGCCGTGGATTTGAGTTGGGAAGGGCTGTATAGTATAGTAACTATAGTATATTATGCCTAGTGTATTGAGCACAGCTCATGACAAGCATGCAAGAGAGCGGCATATTGTACTGTACAGTGTGACAAGCATCAGCTCGGATTTCGTAGCCCATCTTTCTCACAGGATACTGCCGATGTGATTTCATAGCCCCCACTGTATGACATTCAAGCTACCAAACACAACCTGACAACCCGCTGACAACCGAAGAATGTTGAGGCAGTAAAAAGCAGTAAATCAGCAATAAGAACTGGAGTTACTTTCCAGATCCTGGCTCCATAGCAAGTGAGGCAATGAGTCATGCACGGCCGCGGAAACTAATTTTCAAATCGGAATGCAAGGGTGCGTTTCGGATTCGGCCGCGCCTGAATCCCAAACCCTACCCGTGCAGGGGGCGTCTGGGGTCGATTGAATGGTCCTGCCAGGGAGGCCTGTCAGGTTGATTCGCACGACAGGCAAGACGAAACATAAGACTAACTTTTGAATCTAGGGCTCTGAAATTTCGGAATCAAAGCTGGCATCAGAGCTCCTTGGCGTACGCGTTATTACTACTACTGCGCTGCACTGATATGTCCTGGACCTGCCTCAAACAAAGCACCCAGAAGTACAACACGCTGTGGATTTGTGCTTCGCAGGATTTCGCAGGCACTGGAAAATCGCAAACTGTCGGGAAATGCGGTCTATGGGCATGTCAGTGAGAGTACCAGATCTTAATGCCGCGTGGTTCAGCGGCTCATTGGCTGAAGGAGATTCGTAAGTCACTAATTGCCTGTTGCATCAAGATCGCCAGGTTTCTCTGGTCATGAGTCGACATGAAAGATAGCAAGGCAAAATATCCCTCTGATATCCGGGTCCAGATCCGCCATACTCTGCTAGACGGCATATAGCCTCATGGAGGAAGCGAGCATTGTCTCCTTCGCTGCAAGGTTATGTTTCTCGTGTCTTCGGTACATAACCTCCTGGAACTTAGCAGCTCGCAGCGATCAGCTACGAGTCTTGATTTCCCACTTGGGATGGGTTTGTGTCTGTGAAGTCTGGGATGTTCCCGCTGGCATGCACGCGAAGATGACTACGATGATTAACAATGATTAAAGACTTGGGCGGGCGCGGTTGTCGCAGCCCGGTCCCCCAGCATGTTCGCAGAAGAGAGGGAAGGGAACCTCTGACCATGTACAGCATTGGTACGTGCTTGCAGGGGGTTTAGGGTTTAGGGTTTAGGGTTTAGGGTTTAGGGTTTAGGGTAACTCCATGATTCTAGTAGCTCATGATCGTGGGGCTCAGTTCGGGTTGATGCCTGTGGCAGCGGAAGCCGGGACCCTCGGTTGAGGCTCTGTGCCAGTGGTACTTGGAGGTTCATGGTACTTATTTACCAATTATAACTGTACTTGTAACCCACTTATAAGCCCCTTAAGTGCCCTAATATGGTTACAAGTACAGATATAAGTACAGTTATAATTGGTTAATAAGTACCATGAACCTCTAAGTATCGTTCGCTCCACTGAAGCGCTTTGCTGCGTAAGCTGTTTTTACAAGATGGCTGCCCGAGTCCTGTACCAAACGCGACCAACCCTAAACCCTAAACCCTAAACCCTAAACCGTTTTTTGCAGGGGAGCAGGGTGAACCGGCTGAGCCTGGGTGCAAACACGAGGCCTTGCGAACCTTGACCCCATCAGCTATTGCAGGGGTTAGGGCATGTTGAAGTACCAGTGCTCCATACAAATAAAACTCATGTCCCTGTACCCCACTGACGATGGGCTACCATGTTAAGGAAGGATTTGGCGAGTTTGATGGCCTTGAACACAATAAGACACACTCAGCTCAGTGCGGGGCGGTGCCCTTCTGAAGTGTGTGAATGGTCCAAATATCCAGGACGGGCTATTAGACCCTATAACCCGTAAAAAAGGGCCTTTATAGGATTGTTTATGGGGGTTATAGGGCCTAATAGCCCGTCCTGGATGTCGTCTCTGCGAGCTTGCTCGGAGAAGATGCGAGAGAGGGAGGGCTTCTGCAAGCCTGCGCCGAAAGCCTGACTAATCTTACAAATCCTCTGACGCTTACAAGCACGATTGCTGAGATGTGCATAGCTGTTCCGGTTTTGGGCGACTACTTGCAAGGCAAGCTGCTGGAATGTTCGCTGTGGTCTGCAGACTGGTGCTGAGGACATGGTTCGTGTTGCCCTAAACCCTAAACCCCAAACCCCTTTAAACCCCAAACCCCTAAACCCTAAACCCTTGCCGGATGCTTCTCCATCTGCTCTCTTCTTGCTACGCACTTCTTCTGTGCCTGGACTGCTATTTCAAGGGGCCCTTGCTTGAAGAAGACCTTGTGCTGTGGAAAGGATGTCTAGCAGTCTAGGAGTCTTGGCTAGCTGCAAGTTTTAGACATATTATATATGCAAATATAAATATAAATATAGATAAAGATATAGATACAGATATAGATATCGATATAGATATAAATATGAATATAGATATAGATATAGATACAGATATAGATACACACATATATATATATTTATATTTATATTTATATTTATATTTATATTTATGTTTACATACGTGGGCTTGTGACGCATAGAAGTGAGCCTGCTGACCTAAAGATCGGCCTTGCTGCTCTCCCTACCGAAGGGCCTTTGAGGCGCAGTGTCGAGGACTTCAAAGTTCCGAATTTGAGGCCCCAGTGGCTTAGAGTTTAGGGTTTAGGGTTTAGGGTTTAGGGCCCGGACCGTAACGCACACCAAGCGTAAGGGCTTTACGTTGGGATGCTCCCATGCTCCCCCTTATCCCCCTTACACTAACAGTCCTTAGTGGAGATTATAGAGGGTACCTCTACTATGTCCCCGATTCAGGACTGTATAGTATAAGGGGGAACATCCCAACTTATACAGAAAAGTCAAAGTTCTGAGAGACACGTGCAAAAAGATGATCGCCGTAGACGCACGGCTCACCTGCAAGACCTGCAGCCATTGCGCAAGAGGGTGTGCAAGCTACCACGCCCCACTCGAGGGTTGAGGATTTTGGGTTGATTGGAGGCCTCGTTGGTGAATGGGGGTTTAGGGTTTAGGGTTTAGGGTTTAGGGCTTAGGGTTTAGGGTTGCTCCAAATGGTGTGTCAGAAACTGGCGCTCCTTCTGTGGTGATCGAGGATGTTGGTGCTGGCGAGCGGTTTCAGAAGCACTTTCTCGCAAACCCGGAGTTTACTCGAGTGCCATGCTCTGGCCGGTCATTACATCTCAACCACTAAACCTGTGGAGTGTTGGAAGGTTGGTCTTGTGAGGGGGAAGAGGGCTCTGTACCAGTGAAATAGTGGAAATGTGCGATTTCTCACGCGCAGCCCTTGTTCTTGCAACCAAACCCTGAACCCTATGAACCCTAAACACTACACTCGGGATACCGCCCGTTCACCTGTGAGACGCAACATCCAAATTAAAAAAGACCCCGGCCGCCCGCCACGAGCTTCTCGAGCTTGCAAAATGCTTAAAAACCTATGGGCGCGAAGTGCCCTCCCCACTTTGTGCCTCAACGCCCTAAACCCTAAACCCTAAACCCTAAACCCTAAGCCCTAAGCCCTAAGCCCTACACCCTACACCCTAAACCCTAACCACCGTTTGCCCAGCCTCGTGCAAGAGCAGGTGAGCCAGGCACACCACCGAGGTGATGCAGCTCCGAGGGCGGAAGCTCCAGGGGCCGGATCACCTTTAGGGTTTAGGGTTTAGGCTGCTGCAGCATGGGTGGGTGGGTGGCTCAGGGCTTCTGCGGTTCTTTAGATGACCCCGTGTGTCGGACACACACGGATCCGTATGTCAAGCAAAAGGAACCCTACTAGGAGAGTGCACAAAAAAGGCCCCGCGGGTGCTCACTCATACAGCCAAAGCCGGGCACGAATTTAAATACCTAGCAAGATGGGGTTTATCTAGTATAGTTATTGATGATATATATATATATAGTTGGAGGTAATATTGAAATTCAGGATGAATATGTTAATACATGTGAAAAGAGCCAGGCGACTGCATCGAAATTCGGCTCATGGAAGTACACGACGGATGTCCTGCAGGTCCAGATTTTGGGTGCCCTGCAGACGTGGGCAAGACATGTCAAAGCGGGCACTCCAACACCGACTTGGGGGTTCATGGTACTTATTGACCGATTATAACTGTACTTGTAACCCACTTCTAAGCCCCTTAAGTGTCCTAATATGGTTATAAGTACAGTTGTACTTGGTTAATAAGTACCATGAACCTCTAAGGAGAGAGCAACTCTTGAGGATGGCGCCGCCGGTTGGAAAATCTACAAGTGTGGGTCTAGGCGAATTGGAGAAGCCCAACCTCACATGCTTCGCCTCTCAAATGTCTAGACTCCGTGGAGTGATTCCAGTATATCTTGTAGCTCAGATAACTCTCTCGTTGCGGGTACCTCGATTCGAAAAGGCTCCGAGCATCAAACCAGATCGAACCCCAATCAAACCAAATCAAAACATAAACCCTAAACCCTAAACCCTAAACCCTAATTAAACCCTAAACCCTAAACCCTAAACCCTAAACAAACCAGAAGGCCTAAATCCACAAAAGCCCCGGATCCTGAAGTTCGCCGAGGTGTGCCGCACGCGATGCTCTGTCGCCACCCAATGGCCCCGAGTCCACACGCTGAGCATATCCTCACCGTATTTAGGGTTTAGGGTTTAGGGTTTAGGGTTTAGGGATGCCAGAATGGTTTGGGCAGAGGTCAGAAGTCCATGTGGAGTTTCAGAAGGAGCCGCAAGATCCCAATGCAGGCCCCGACGTGTATGTCTTTTCTAGCAAGCTGGAGAAAGATGCAGGTCGGGTTTTAGGGTTTAGGGTTTAGGGCTTAGGGTTTAGGGTTTAGGAAGGGTTGCCCATATGAGGTGAGCCTGCACGCAATCTGCGAAGTACAACAGAACCCCTTATTCTAAGCGAGTCGAGCCGGGAGTCGCCGAGATTGACCACCAGCTTGCCCGGCACTGGGGGGACCGCCTCCCACCTGCCGGAAGCTTAGGGTTTAGGGTTTCGGGGTTTAGGGTTTAGGGTTTAGGGTTTAGGGTGCACTTTAGAATGCATGGATGCATTAGATCTGCTTCGGTCAGAAGCACCATTGAAGAGGACAGTTGTGCAAACAGGGCATGCAAACAGGGCCCTTTTTTTGCGGGGCCCTGCATCCTCGAAGAAGCGCCGATTTTCGCCCTTTTGTTGAAGAATTTAGAACCGGCAAAAGCCATTCTCATCTCAATACGAAGTTTCAATTTTCTGGGTGCCTTGATACCGAGACCCGACTCTAAGATTTTCTAAGACTACCTGCTCTACTACGTGCGGTGGTTGAGTTCCAGTTAAATTACACTGGGGTTTAGCCGAGCTTCATTTTTTGGGGGCTATGAGGGAACCCAGCACCCAGATTGCATCTAGACTCCCCGGGCTGCGCCAAAGTATAACCATGAGCCAGGCCCTAGGGTTTAGGGTTTAGGGTTTAGGGTTTAGGGTTTAGGGTTTAGGGTTTAGGGTTTAGGGTTTAGGGTTTAGGGTTTAGGGTGGCCCTAAAGCACAGAAACCCAACCCCACATCTCTGCGGACCCGTATCAGAAAGCAAGCGCTGCCATTCAAAACCTATACCAAAGCACATTGAAGCTCAAGAGCCCCTTACAGGTAGAGATCCCGTACCCTGGAGCCCTTGAGAGGTCCCTAAACCCTAAACTCTAAACCCCAAACCCTTTTTTGCATCCGGGCTATGATGTCCTGGCCGGAAACCCTAAACCCTAAACCCTAAACCCTAAACCCATCTAAACCCTAAACCGCCTGCCGCAAGGCAGCTTCGCCTCAAGTGCTCCCTGCGTTTCATCCTCCAAAAACTCGCGGGGTGGGGCTCGAGGTGTCTGAGGAGTAGGTTAGGATCGAACTATCGGATTTGGGCTCCGGGCCAAGGGGTTCCGGATGAGCCGGGGACACCCTGAAAGCTATTGCCGTCCTTCCGTAGTCATGTCAACCCTGAGCCGGTTTAAAGGCCCACACATCACCGAACTGCCCAAGTTCAGCAAGCCATTGATGCCATGAGTCTTCTGTGGCACGGGAGGGTATTATGAAAAGCAGCCCATTTGGTCACTTCTCCACTTTGTGTCCTCTTTTGGGGTTACCATGATAAGGCGGCCCCGAATATTTAGGGTACCCAAAAAGGGACCACAATTTTTGGGAAATGACCATGTACTCCCTGTCTCCTGAGCCAGGATCACCCAGCAGCCATAGTCTGTGTGCTCTCCACAAGACAGGCCAGGTGCATCAACCTCGATGCCGCGTCTTCGATCAGAGACAAAGGTTTAGGGTTTAGGGTTTAGGGTTTAGGTTTAGGGTTTAGGGTTTCGGGTTTAGGGTTTAGGCTAGGGGTCAGGGTTGCGGCTCTCACGGTTTAGATTTTGCTTGCCTCCTGCCTAGCTGCCTGAAAGCCACTGCGCAGGGCAAACGCCTGCCTTAGTTCCATCTACCGAAGAAAGTGCCTTCAACGACTGGCAGAAAAGTCAAGCCTCCGACCCCTCTGGTATTCCAGCCTCACCAAACCTAGCACTTCAAAGCACATACAGTACACAGGATCTTAGTTACCAAGAGGGTCCATCTGTCGTACTATTATGGAATTAGGTACCAAACAGAGCTTTGGGTACACAATTCCATGATGGTACTACAGACGCACGCTCCCGGGGTTACATGAACACGCAGGGCCCACGCAGGTCTGGAGGTCCGCGGCAGTTGACTCACTAGGAGAATCCTGGAAAATACATGAAAATACTAGCGAACCGCTCGAGACTTTTTCAGCGCCCCACAAACACACACCGTGGTGTGTGTTTGTGGGGCGCTAAAAAACTCAGTCTCGAGCCGTTCGCCAGGATGTTCCGGATTCTCCTAGTTTTGGGTTTAGGGTTTAGGCGGTTTAGGGGATTCAGGGGAATAGAGAACCAGTACTTCTGATCGCCCCCCCTTTGTGGGCGCATCGGTGTGCTTGTTTCTATCTTGCTTGCTGCTTTTCCCTTCGTCGTTCTTTCTTGTGCTGTGAGTGCTGTGGCTGACGCCCCACTTGCAGCAGGTAGGCATGTAGGCCTTGGGATGTCCATCCTTATACTAACGGTCCGTAATGGGGATTATAAAAGGGGGTACTATAATGAACCAGCAGGTTTCTCACATCACCTCCAATTTCACAGAAGTCAAAATCAGAGCCCAATGTACCAAACTCTCTCCAAGCAGCTGGTAGGGCAGGGTAGCCAATGATACGAGCGCCCCAAAAGCTTTCGTTCATCACAGGATCGAAATGATCTTCTGGCAGCCTTTGTTTCTTTCGTGTTGATGAATATCAGCATCCAGGCTTGCGGGGACTCTTTGCCATACCCAGTGGCTGTGACCAACATGCTAGCCCAAACAAGGTTGCATTTGCCCAAGCAAACCCAAACCGCAAACCGCAAACCGCAAACCGCAAACCGCAAACCCTAAACCCTAAACCCTAAACCCTAAACCCTAAACCCCTAAACCCTTTGGAAGCCGAAGAGGCCCGAACGCGACAGCCATGGCTTTTGTCAAGGCCGATCCTGAGACACACGCTACCCAGACCTTCCAAAACCCCTTAATTAAGGTATATACTCTAATTAGTATAAATTAGGGTATATACTCGAACTAGTATAAATTAAGGTATATACTCTAATTAGTATAAATTAAGGTATATACCTTAATTCATAATAAGGATCCTTAGTATAAATTAGGGTATATTCCTTAATTAAGGGGTTTTGGAAGATCTGGGTACCCTTGTACTTGGGCGTGATGTATCGCCGCTGGCCGTACCGACTTCAACAGGCAAGCAGCACCCCAGAACTGGCAAAGTCCAGACGTACATCCTGTTTCTTGCAAGCACTTTGCACGCGGAAGCAGCGTGCTCGAAACAACAAGCAAACAGTTTGGGGCATCGACTGTTTGAGCAGATGACCCCTGAGTAGCGAAGCTATCTCCGACCGACAGCCGCAAGCCCGAAACAAGAACAATTCACAAGCATGATGTGGTACCCTAAACACGCGTGTCAAGTTGACTGCAACGACATTCATGGTACCAGGAGGAGGGTCCCACTGCGGCCATCTGTGCAAAGTACGCTTCCGCTGCGCCTGGCCACGACAGATACAGGATGTGGGGTTGAGGCTTGATCCATGCTTCGTTGCACCCCCCACTGCCCACCCGTTCAAACTTATGGAATCACGCCAACACCTGGTACTCCCAGATCTTCCAAAACCCCTTAATTAAGGTGTATACCTTAATTCATAATAAGGACCCTTAGCATAAAGTAGGGTATATTCCTTAATTAAGGGGTTATGGAAGACCTGGTACTTGAGCTCACAAGGATGCAGAGCGCGCAGCACACTTGCAGCCGAAGGACGCTTGAAGTCGGCCGGCTGTGTTGGCCACTGGTTCCGCCCTTCGACGAACCTTGGCATGGGTAACTCCCACTCCTTTCGTGCCCAGGGTTTAGGGTTTAGGGTTTTTTTTTGCGGTTTAGGGTTTAGGGTTTAGGGTTTAGGGTTTAGGGTTTAGGGTTTAGGGTTTAGGGTTTAGGGTTTAGGGGACTTAATGAGTCTGTGGTGTTCCAGCCAAAATAGCCGGCCAAAGTTGTTCGATGACTCTTCTCAGAGCTGCAAATGCTTTGATGAAGTGAGCTGTGCCTTCTTCTTCTTCAGGACGCCACGAAGATCCAACATGAATTCGTGGAAGTGCCCGATTCAGGCAAGTCGCTGGTGCACTTTTTTGAATTGTCTCTCATCAAAACCTGGGGCCAGCGAAGTGATGCTTGGGAGCCGCTGTCTTGACACGCAGTGCTCGCACACCTTTTGGTTCAAAAAGGAACACGTCGCGAGAGTCGGCCAGGTCTCTGCTCAAAAGTGTCCAGCAACTTGTACCACACAACCCCCGAAATGCTCCAAAACCACAAACTCATGAACCGCAACAGCTGAACCTCGCCTTGCAGCGAGGAGATCGTGCCCAACCTGACCTCAGAGCTCTTGTGGCGTGAAGGGTTCAGGGCTTCTTGGTTTCCAGAAGCTACCGCAAAATCCATGGCTTGGGGCTTTCCATCGTGGAGGTTCAGATTCAGCCTGTGGGGTTTCGGGTTTAGGGGTTTTCGTTCCGTCCAGGCACATCCGTGCTTTGGTTGGAAGCAGGGGGCCATAGCACTCTCGAAAGCTGTTCACACATCCTGCGATGCTCAAAAACTAGATCGGGTAGTCTGAGTTTTCTGGTGCGGAACCAGATGAACAAGCAAGATTGCGTCCATAAACTCGCCTTCTAGTCATGATTAATGCCCTCCTGCCCCGAGGAGCTACTTGTCCAAGCAAGGAAAGGACATTATGACTAGAGATCTTCGCACAGAATGATCTTGATGCTCATCACCCCCCGTGTTTTCAAGAGAAAGCATTCTTGCATAGTCTTGCGTTTGAAGTTCTGACGTCTGAAGGTTTCAGCCCAGGGCACGCTGCCGGGCGGGACTTCCGCAAAGAAGTCGAGGGCTTCCTGCCAATCCTGCAACTCTGACCGCCTTAAACCTACTATTTGCTTCAGAAACCCCCCGCCAAAAAAAAACAAATAACACTGCATATATGGATTACTATATTCTATTTTGGTGGGGGCTTCTTACGCAAATTGTAGAAACGTGGAACCCCTCCTAGCTTGGGCCTTCGGCATTCAAAACAATGCCAAGTCTGTGGCGCACGGAGGTGTGCTGCAGCTCCCTGAACCTCTTATTAAACAAACCCAAGGGACTGGGAGAACAGAGGATTCCAGGAACACACAGGAATGCCGCCGCGCATTTACGAAGGCCCCTGAAATATGTCGGAGCCATCTTGCGCCCCACATGCCTTTACCACCGCGAAGTGCGGCCGAGTCGCTCTTTGGTCCTTCGTCACGTTCATGCCAAGTTTCTGATATCCTCACGGCAGACAGAAGCAGATTCACCGAAGCCTCCCTGAGACCTGAGTTGCAGTGCTGTGCCATGCTGGGCAGGTCCCTACTGCTCAGGTTGATCCCGACATCCGTTTAGGGTTTAGGGTTTAGGGAAATATGCTGGTCCTCTTGCAAAATCTTGATCAGAAGAAAGAGCAATCGCTTCCTGCATGCTGCATCCCATGCCGCATGCGCTTCACCTCTTTGCACAAGCTCTTGCTCGTCACTTTGTAGGGTGGCCTAGGACTAGGTTACTTGTAAGCCGCGAAAATCCCAAGGTCTAACACAACTCCTTCCCTTACTGGCGTACTGGCTATGCTGACACTGCTGCTACAACTCCTCATGCAGCGGTGCAGTGTGAAACTAGCAGTTTTCGGCAGCCTTGGCAGCACCTGGTAGCGCGAAGAACTGTCGAGCAAGCCTGTGCAGGTTTTCGACCTGACAGCGCACGCACGTACGACCTGCAACCGATTGACCTTCAAGCTGATACAAAATCTGGGTATCAGGACGCTCACGGCGAGGAAAACCGGACATTGCTTGACAATTGCGACGTTTGGATTTGGAAGGGACGTGGTCTTTCAGGATACCCTGCGCAAGTCCGTACACCCAGGACCAATATCGTCGCCCAGGCTGTGTCATCGGGTGCCCGAAATTTGCTAACGAACTGTTTCCAGCGTGGGGAAGAGCGCTCAACAGCCCAGATGCTTCGTCAGTTTGCACAGCAAACGCGCACCCCGCTTCTGAACCCCGAGGCCAAAGACCCAACAGAAAGCCCAAAACCCCAAATCCAGTTTTCTCGGTTGGATGCTAAAGAGGAGGCCTCGTGCTCTGTAACGCCGTGGCCGTCCAAGTAAAAGAAGCCTGTGCTTCTGCATGCCCGGTCCTGAGTTTCTAAGCGCACTCTCTCGGTGGGGTTTGCGGCTGCTTTGTGAGGTCTAGGTTATAGGTGGTTTGATGCACTCGTTGGGTTAGTTCAATCACGGATACGCCAGGGTGCCATTTTTGCGGCATCCCGCTATCCCCCCCGCCCACATCGACCGATTCACATGAGAGCACAAGCAAGCAAAAGATGAAGCCGAGCCTAAAGTCTCAACCCCAGAACTAAGATGAAGCCTCCGCAACACCCTGTCGGGCTGGGCTCAAGTTCTCGCGCGCAGCGCTGCTTCTCCGCCTTGCTACCGCCTGGAAGCCGGGTTTGCCGGGGCAGCTTGGGGGGCCCGATGAAGCTTAAACTGTTTTATGGCTTAATTAATAAGGATTCTACAGGGGCTTCAGGGTAATAAAGATTGCGAATGTAGAAACCTGAGAGTCTTTAGAAATGGGATGGCGGGCGGCAGCGGACTTCTGGGGTGTGGGGGGGGTTGAGGTGCAGGTTTTGGGTTTGATGGCTCTTCCCTGGTGATGTGGCATCACCACTGAAGGTCTAGGGCAGCAGAAAATGTAGCAGTTGGGGTTTCGTGGCTGTGAATCAACCTCCGGCAACTTCCCAAGCTGCAAAGCACGAAATTGTCCAGGCAGGCTGCCGTCCCAAACCCGATGATTGTACAATGCCTGATGGTCGTCACCCCAACAACGAGCCCTAAACCCTAAACCCTAAACCCTAAGCCTTATAAACCCTAAACCCCAAACCCGAGACCCTGAGCCTATAGGGTGAAGGTGTAGCGCGGGGTGTAAGGGCGCAGTGTCTGTGTCGACACTTCCGAGTGTCCCGACCATTTGGATGCGCCGTCGCATGGCCATCTAGGGTTTGCTGACTGGAGGGACCTATGGATCTATGGACCTATGCCAGCCCCAGACACAGAATGTCAGCGCTGCTCACCCAGCAGCTTCTTGTACCAAAACGAAACAGGTGACGAACCATCAGTGCGGTGGTTTGGCGCAAACAGACTTCCTTTGCCACTTGAAATAATGCCGTCAGCATTTTGTTTGTGGCATATGTTGCTTCAGGTCTCGAGAGCATAGAACACGGTGACTACAATAGTTTGCATCAAGATACACGAAGCCCCCACTCAGCAATGATAAACCTTTCGGTTTGATCGTGCTGTCTAGTGAAAAAATGCACTCGGCGTGATCCCGGACCCTGGCTCTCACCATACTAGTAAAGCCCTGTCCAAGACACTCAACAAAGCCCTTTTTTTAACCCAGACTCTGTACGTCAGCTGGCACAATGACAATTGCTTGTTGAGCCCTAAACCCTAAACCCTAAACCCTAACCCTTTTGAACCTGGAAGCTGCCCCTAAACCCTTTTTTACCCTAAACCCTAAACCCTAAATCCTAAACCCTAAACCCTAAACCCTAAACCCTAAACCCTAAACCCCCTCATTCAGCGAGCCTGCAAGGAATGGGGATATGTCCAGCGAGGGCATCGCTGTGTGGATGGCCCTTCGGACGGGGGACCTGGTCATGTCCCAGCGCAAAGAACCACTAGCCTAAGGTGGCTTTTCTTGGAGGTCCACAAGTTGTTTAGGATTTAGGGTTTAGGGTTTGCCGCTTGCCCCTCAAATGAAGACTAGATTCTTAGATGATACCTGGCGATTATCCCATCTTGCAAGCAAGCCGTCTCTCGACTGGAGGGACTGACTTGACAAGATCCATTGCCCACGCCCGACCGAACCTAAAACAAACATGACCCCAGGAACACTTCGGGCATACAGTAAACTCCGACAAGTTGGAACATGGCTTTTAAGGATGATTAGGGCTGGGATTCCCTTTAGTGTACCCTAAGGGGTATGGGGATAAGGATGTTCCAACTTTTCGGAGTTTACTGTAGGAATTCTTTAGACCCCACCCCTGCCTCAGTGAAGTGGAACAAAGGCACCGCATAGGCGCGCGGCACAGGGACAAAGCCATGCTGTTCCGCGAACAGGAGACAGAGCATGAAGGAGATGTTGCAAAATGACGTCTGCAGGGTCATGGAGTCAAGTGGTTTAGGGTTTAGGGTTCAGAGGCTTCATGTTAGGATCGCTGGCAAGTCGTATAAGTTCTTGGACATGTCTCCTGCACTCTGCAAGCGCACGGGGCCTTGAACGCGAATGCCTCGCCGAAAGCAACTTACTCTTGCACCACAATGGCCAGGGCAGCTTTTTACATGCGCTGGCCTTAAGCTTTCAACCTAACTTACCCCCCCCCCCCCCCCTAAACCCTAAACCCTAAACCCTAAACCCTAAACCCTAAACCCCTGATCCCCTAGGAAACCCCAAGGCCCAAACCCCTAAATCCAAGCCTCCGAGGCCTCACCTTTCAACTGCGCCCCGCAAATGCTGGTCCAATTTCAGGCTCTGCCCTAAACCCTAAACCCTAAACCCTAAACCCTAAACCCTAAACCCTAAACCCTAAACCCTAAACCCTAAACCCTAAACCCTAAACCCTAAACCCTAAACCCTAAACCCTGACAGTACTTGGACAGTTTGCGATTAACCGATTTGATCGTACTGGCTCTAGGGAAGGGAGGGTGGGGGCGGGCGCGTTTAGGGTTACTGATCTGAAGGTGGTCCCCGCATCACTATCGCTCAAAGTGCCTGCTGCCCTTTGGCTGATGTGCGTCACATTAGTCTCTATCTGACACAATTTCTCAGCGCAACCAAAAAAACCGTTGAACAATTGGGCCCGCCCTTACAAAAGCGTAGGAACTACGAGTGATTGCCTGGGCACCATGGGACGAAAATCTTCAAGGAGCTACCAGTAGAATCAGAAAGGTTTAGGGTTTAGGGTTTAGGGTTTAGGGTTTAGGGTTTAGGGTTTAGCCAGGTTGGAGTTGGCGCGACCTCTTCACAAGCAAGGCCACGACAAGCGAGGCACCCATAGATTTGTACAGTTGGAAATGCCGTGGCCAGACATCCCACTGGCAACAAGTCAGCCCGGTAGCAAAGCTCCAAAGCTCCGAATTAGGCAGTTGTCTTCAGTACTGCATCTTGCATGCGCAACCCCTTGGGCACCAAGTGCGCAAGAAGTGAGATTCGCGCTGTTTGATTTGCGCAGCGACTGCGAGGATCACTTTGGTTAAGGGGGACGAGGTGAGGAGACCATGTCATGTACCAACCCTAAACCCTAAACCCTCAACCCCACCACCGAGGGTTGGAAAACAAGTGCGGTGGGCTCTGGGTTTCTGCCTTAGACCTTCGGTAGCTGCCGGCGTGAAGCTGTGGGCCGAGCTGTCCGCCTTACGACCCCTAAACCCTAAACCCTAAACCCTAAACCCTAATCCCTATGGTCCCTTAGTATGGGCCCTTAAAAAAAGGGGACCCCTTTTCTGCCCCTTACATATCCTCTACAAATTAAGGGCCCATACATCAGAACACATTCAGAGCCCATGTGACTACCCTTAGAGTCAGGGTTCATGTAGCCCCAACCTCTAGGCACAGGAAAGGCTTCGTGGGACTGCGGCCGAGGCTTCGGTGCAGGTTTCTTAGGGTTTAGGGTTTAGGGTTTAGGGTCTAGGGTCTAGGGTTTAGGGTCTAGGGTTTAGGGTTTAGGGTTTAGGGTTTCTCTCTTGGTGCACGAAGGGCAGCAACCCACGACAAGTGGATTGACTGGGGAATGTGAACTCCAAGGGTCGATGTTTGAGGAGGATGGAAGTGACATCAGCCCACTTAGGAGCAAGTTTGAACTTCACTGAATTTCAAGCCGAACTCTTACACGTTTTCTGATGCCAGGAGGTTGGAAGTTAACACTCAGACTCTCCGTCAGTTTACAGTTTGGGTGGAAGCTGGCACCGTAAGGATGTCAACGCCTCCCAGCAGAAATGGGGTGAGTCTTGCGAGGAGGTCGTAGGCCTAACTCGAAGCATGCATCGTGCTTAGACATCTCCCCTCTGGTGCGGGCCATGTACTTAACTGGACTTAACTTCCGTCTCCATATGATTATGAAGCACGCCTTGACATACCTGGTGTGGGGTCCCACGTTTTGCAGTTCGAAATCCGGGAATGGTTAGAAGCTGAACTATAAGCTTCGGGCGACAGAAAGACTGGGAACATGGACCCTTAGAGACACCGGCTGCAAGGTAGCACGGCAGCAGACGCCAAGACTGCTGTCAGCTTTCACAGGCTGCTCTCAAGTTGGGGCTCAATATTCGGGCTAACATGCGTTAGGGTTTGGGGTTTAGGGTTTAGGCCCTACTAAACTCGGGCCCGAAAACCCTTAAACCCTAAAACCTAGACTTTAGTGTTTAGGGTTTAGGGCTCCGAGAATTGGCAGCTTCAGGGGTGTCGATGCGTGACCTTATTCAACAGGGGGAGCACAAACATCGACCGGTGTAACACCTTGAGGAGAAATTGCCAGCCCTCAAACCCTAAACCCTAAACCCTAAACCCTAAACCCTAAACCCTAAACCCTAAACCCTAAACCCTAAACCTCAAACATTGCATCCTCAAACCTTTGAATGCTCACTCTCAACGAACGCAGGCCAAAGCTCCAGGTCATCCTCAACCCATCCAGGGAAACCCTAAACCCTAAACCCTAAACCCTAAACCCTAAACCCTAAACCCTAAACCCTAAACCCTCAAGCATGGCACTCTCTAAGTTCTTAGTTTCATGCAAACAGACAAACCACATCCCACTTGCCCACTTGCGCAAGCATGACACTCTCTAAGTTCTTAGTTTCATGCAAACAGACAAACCACATCCCACTTGCCCACTTGCGCAAGCATGACACTCGCTAAGTTCTTAGCAAGTAAAGTTTCTCCTTGTGAAGAACAAGGAAACAATCTTCGAATCTTCGAATGAATGCCCCCATGCCGTGTTTAGGCAGGTTTAGGGTGCCCTGAACCTCCATTAATGAGTCAGTTGCCCCCATGGGGTCTGCCCTTTCGAGTTGGGCCCCTCGAGCATTCAGTGGCTTTCAGCCGTCGGACTTCCAAAAAGCCCTCAGGGCCAGGACGATGGCACTCTCATGCGTGCGCTTCGCCTCCCCGACAACAGGGCATGTGCGGTGATTGGGTCAGGCTGACGAACTTCCCTTGCAATCTGTGCGATTTAGGCGAGATCTACATCGGATCGTTTTGCTAATTAAAGTGGCATGGGCGACTATCTCTCCCCTTGGCTCGCGGAAAACCACACCGAGACTTTGGGACGAAATGGAACCCTAAAATAGGGTTCTATACCCTACACTACTATCATTCCTATTCAGGTATATGGACCTTAAACCCTTTCAGGGTTCATCTGGTCCCCAAGGCAGAGACAAGGTCCGCCGCCTCCGGTGCTTGCAGCCACAGCCTAGTTCATGGTTGGGACAATATTAAAAGTTCAATATGAAAAAAAGCTGCTATTTCTTAAATTTTTATTGGGCTTAAGTACCCTTAAAATTGTAAAAGGTTACCCAACTACCAGGACGGGCTATTGGACCCTATAACCCTTAAACAAGGGCCTTTATCGGGCTGTTTATGGGGGTTATTGGGCCTAATAGCCCATCCTGGTTTTCTTGTTGGGCTTAAGTACCCTAAACCCTAAACCCTAAACCCTAAACCCTAAACCCTAAACCCTAAACCCTAAACCCTAAACCCTTAAAATTGCAAAAGGTTACCCAACTATCACCAAGCAGCGGCCACAGCAGCAAGGCGCTGGAGCTCCCGCTGCGCGGCGCCCCGGAGAAGCTGAGGCATGGGAGGCGAAAAAGGCTTCGAAAGTCTGAAACCCTAAACCCTAAACCCTAAACCCTAAACCCTAAACCCTAAACCCTAAACCCTAAACCCTAGACCCCAGACCCGAGACCCTAGACCCTGAGCCCAAAGCCTTATAAAATGCCTTAAAACCTGTGACACCCCGCTACTGGACAGTAACTCAGTAGGCCCATGTAAGCCGAACGCCAGGCCTCCAACCGCTCACCGTGGCTTGCGCTCTGCAGCAGCGCCTGTAGAAGAGATAGGTCTTTGTACAGGTACAGGGTCGGAAACTGTGCGGTTGCAGGGTATATGAGGCTGAAAGTTTTATCGACTACGGAGATGTCGTTTTGCAAAAAACGCTTGAAAAAGGCCGGCTGAAACACACTTACTCACCCAGATCTTCGAAAATCCTTTAATTAAGGAATATCCCCTAATTCATAATAAGGTCCTTAGTATAAATTAGGGTATAATTCCTTAATTAAGGGGTTTTGGAAGATCTGGGCACGTTCCCCGAAAGGCCGCAAGGAAAATGGACTCACGGAGCCCCTTGTGTGAAAAAAACAGGGCAGGGGGAGGTCGGATTGCCTGTAGGGTTTAGGGTTTATAGGGTTTATAGGGTGTGTAGGGTTTATAGGGTTTATAGGGTTTAGGGGTGATTCATAAAGTAGGGTATATTTTTCTTGCACCCCCAAAAGGGCACCCAATGTGTACACTCGCCAATATTGAAAAAGGAACCTTATATACACTCACCCAATAACAGTAAGATAAGCCCTGCTTCTAATATGGTTTCAGATGATTTCCCAAGCAGCGGTCGTACTGTCTGATGCTCATGAATCTTAAACGACGGGGAGTAGGCGTGGGTGGGGCTCCCATTGGGCAGGCCAAAGGACCACTGGGGTTGCCAGATCGAAAACCAAAAAAAAACTCGGGATTCTTTGGCAAACAAGGTCCATCAAACTCAGTAACCCAGATCTTCCAAAAAACCCCTCAATTCAGGTATATACCCTAAGTTATACTAAGGATCCTGATTATGAACTAGGGTCTATACCTTAATTATGGGTTTTTCTCAGACCTGGGTACGAAAGCGGGCGCCTGCATCAAAGCAGCTCCCTGCTGCTGGTGCTCGACGCTCTCGGCCTGTTGGCCAAGGTTTTAGACAAACCCTAAACCCTAAACCCTAAACCCTAAACCCTAAACCCTAAACCCTAAACCCTAAACCCTAAACCCTCAGAGGATGGCCACGCTTCCTTGCTTCAGCCCCTGGTCCCCAACATCCCCCAAAACCCTTGACCCCGATTGCACTGCCTGCTTCGAAGGCAAGGACCGGGGCACCAAAAGCCAACCCGAAACTCTAAACCCTAAACCCGAATGGCCTCGTAGCTCCGCCTCAGCTCCGCCAGGGACCGTGGCCCACAGTCCGCGCGCCGCGCAGCCTGGTTAGGCGGATCGGATTTGACAGGCCGCCTACCTGTCCGACCTGTCCAACCTGCAATTTTTATCTGGATCCCACAGGCCGCTTGCAGAAACATGCAGAAACAAGACCCCGCCAGTCATGACGGCAAGTTAGGTTCTTTGCTGTGATGTCTAGCTGCTGGTCATGGTGTTGGCCATGGTTGAGGTCCGAAAATGGTGGGCCCCTACGCAAAGCACCAAGCTCCCGAACTAGACGGCCACAAGTACCAAACGGCCGAACTCCGCGACGAGTTCATCGTCGTAGGTAAGACATGCTGCCAGGATGTCGCGATCATGCTGCTGGCGTAGAGCCACACCGCGCCGGTCCCAGTAGCCTCCGTGGCAGAAGCATGTGCATTTCGACTGACCAATACTGACTAGGACTTTAGGGTGTCTCACCGGCTGGAGAGGACGCGGTGTTGGCCCTGGACATCCCGGGCCGTTTGCAATCTGGAAGTTTTTTTGCGAAACGTGTCTCTGTACCTCTTTACATGTCAAGACATCGCACTCTCCCAAAGCTCCAAGCCATTCATCCGCATCCTTCACTCCCTGCTTTACGTGTCCATATAAGATAATGGATAAAATATAGTATATTATATTATATAGTATATTATCTTATATTATATAGTATATTATCTTATATTATATAGTATATTATATAGTACACGCATGCTGAAGCAGTGGGCGTCACGCGCAAATATTTTGTCGCATGACGGAACAACTTGGATGATGCCTTGCCAGAGCTCGGCCAGATCCCAGAACTCCTTCAAAGATTAGGGTTTAGGGTTTAGGGCTTAGGGTTTAGGGTTTAGGGTTTAGGGTTTAGGGTTTAGGGGTTGCCATGGCAGTGTGGTAGGCCGTAGGTTGGGCGTTCGGTCCAGCAGCGCTCCTACTGATCTCCTTCTCGGCCACTTGCTTTGCTTGTGTTTTGGTCAATCTCCTACGCTGAGATCTGCTCTTGAGTTGATCTTGGAGTGGGTTAGCAGATCCGGACCCCTTTCACAAGACAGCCCTACGTTTAGGGGTTTAGAGTTTAGGGTTTAGGGTTTAGGGTTAGGGGTTCTTAAGGCTCATACAAACACATGAGCTGCTCCTCTCGCGAGGCGCCAGCGGCATTGAGCGAGTCCTGTCATAGCAAAGGGGGAACCCAAGTGCTTCGCCAGCCGTGCATGAAACAACCGGCAGCAAGAAACGCCTCCAAAAAAAACGAGTAACAAGCGCAACGGCCATGCAAACTCACGGGAAAATGTGCGTAGTTCACGTAAGGGGTGTTCGTCTAAGGGTTACGAAACTGTTGCGCTCCATGCGTCGCAGTGTGCTGTAGGTCATGCCGTCGGCCTGCAGTACCCAGATCTTCCAAGACCCCTTAATTAAGGTATATACCTTAATTCATAATAAGGACCCTTAGTATAAAGTAGGGTATATTCCTTAATTAAGGGGTTTTGGAAGATCTGGGTAATTACCCGATCTTCCATGTTAGGACTCGGGAATTCGACAACGAAAGCAAACAACTCCAAGTCCACCAAGTCCGCCTGAGCTTGCAAGAACTTAGCCCTTCAGCAACAGCGTTCTGGACTTTCAACTCTGCGCTTTGCCTAAGTCTTGAACTTTCACCTACCATCGCTATGGCTCGGACATCCTTTCAAAACACCGCGCTGAGGCCTTGCGATAGCACTATTTGCTTCTTTAGAACCGCCCCCCCCCACAAAATGAAAATACTCTTCCTTACAGGGGCAATACAGGGATCATTATCTTGTCTTTTCTGGGGGTCTTAAGCAAACAGTAGTAAAGACTGGCTGGTTCTCAGTAGGGAAGGAGGAAATCAGGGTCCTATATCCCTTAAAGGGTATATATAGGGCCCTCATTCCCTCATTCCCTACTAAGAACCTGGGGGAAGACGTGGTACAAACCAGTGGAACCCTAAACCCTAAACCCTAAACCCCGTAAACGGTCCTCGGACAGCCCCGGAGCGGAGCCGTGATCGACCAAGCGGCAAAGGCCCGACCTGCGAATGGGGGATGGCTGCTATAACTCTTTGCTTAAGAACCCCCCCCCGCCCCCCCCCCCCCCCCCCCCCAAAAAAAAACTTAATAAGGGGAATATAGGGATTTATTATGATGTGTGTTTTTTTTTTTTTTTTTTTTTTTTTTTTGGGGGGGGGGGGGGTGTCTAAGCAAATCGTAGGTTGTGACCAGCCCTTTATTGCCTTCACAAACACTCCCTACAGCCCAAAATGAACCGATGATTTGATGATTTGTCTGGCACCTTCTTGACTTCTCGGACTGGTTTTTCGATGGCCTTGGAGAATTTAGGAGCTGTGCGGAGTTTCGAGATGGTAGGGTCGGGGGGATTGCCCTTGAGGCTCCATGCTCGATGGCTGACGCGAAAAGCATCAAGCTGGAGCAGAAGTGAGGGGACCACTGAGTGAGTTTGCCCCGCTTGCCTTCTTGGTACTGCATCTTCCACCACTTGACTCACCGATGTGTGCCGTTTTGATGGGTTTTGGGGTTTTGCCGGCCTAAACACACAGAACTCTTTTAGGCAGGGATTCCCGCACCACACCTCCTTTCAGGGTTGAGGGCTTGCCACACCGCATTTCCTGCTAGGGTTTGGCACTCGCACTCACATGCAGCACGCATGGTTCAGGGCTTCGGGCTTTCGGGCTCTCAGGACTTTTAAAGTTTTAGATTTCCTAACAATACAGGGACGCAGGCCCTTGGCAAGAAAATGGACATGTTTCTACAGGGGAAGTCTGTCATGCAGCCTTCGTTCGCTGGGAGGGAGCTTTCGCCGACAAGGAGGTGGGGGGTGGGGCGAGGGGCGCAAACGTGGCAAGTGAGGCAAGAACAGTTCTGGCCACTAATGGAAATATGGATCGCGTGACGCCTTCACTGTGAAGGGAGACTTGCTTCAAGGGTGGGAGTACGGCAAAATAATGCCTTCATCAAGCGGGAGCAAGTGGGGCGAAGTCAAGTAGCTCTTCCCAGGTGGGGCAAGAAGTCTATAAATCCCGAGAAAAGCCCCCGGGTGATAGGGTTTAGGGTTTTGTCAAGTCTCTAGAGCAGAGTCGTTTGTGCTGAGCTCTGGCGGCCCAAAGCACATCTCACTACCAAACTGCTACAGAGAAGGCTCCAACTCTGTTGCCTGTCTCTCAAACCAGCTTGCCCCGGGCGGTGCGCCATCTCCCCGTCTAGGCTTAGGATTTCGCGCCCCCCAGACATGCCCTGAAGCACAACCTACAGAGTAGGATTCCGTTTCTCAAAACAATTGCCTATGTCAAGCAGGGCCTGTCGCTCATGTACTCCCAACGCCGCAAGGGATCGCCAGCAGACTGCAGGGCATATTCAGTGCTCGAGGGGCTTAAGCTTCTTTCCGAAGTCACATAGATTTATGAGCGCTTGGGGCTTTCTGGGTTTTAGTGCTTCGGGTCTACTTTAGCGTGGTTCAGGATATGTCATGTGTCCTGCTAAGCAGAATACAACGGGACACAAGGCCTTGATCTTCCCAAGCTCGTCAGTTCCCCAACATTGTTGAACCCTGAGCCCCGTCTATCCCGGAACGGCTTTTTGCAACAGGCGTCTTCACTTGCGGCCAACCTTATAAGCCTCAACCCAGAACGCCATACCCTTCTCCGCTCGTTTTTTTTCAGGCATCTTTTTTTTCCGAAGCGCTTCTCAAAGCATGAAGGCACGCGAGGGCTTGATGATCCCTAAATAGCACTGGGGCAGTCCGTGGGTATGGCAGCACCACTGGTACCACTGGCAGCGCAGAGCGATGACGTCATATCGGGGTCGGAATAATTACTAAAAAATATTTTCTTCTGGTCCCTTTCGAACTCTACTATACTAACCCCCCAAAACCCTATTCTAATTATTTAGGCCCCTATAGTAGGGCTTCCCAGGCTTTTCAACAGAAAGCTTCAACTTTACGAGTTCGAAGCCCAGGGCTCCAACAGTTCAAAACAAACCTTCCTACTAGTGGGTTTAGGGTTTAGGGTTTAGGGTTTAGGGTTTAGGGTTTACTCGGTGCTATCTCTGAGTCTGAGCAACTGGGTTTAGGGTTTAGGGTTTAGGATTAGGGCCATACGCCCTACAGCCCCCCGGGTTCTTAGCAGGGAATGAGGGGACTAGTAACCAGCCTTTGATCTCCCCGGGTTCAGAAACGCCAACACAGGTTTGATAAAACGTGGGTCAGGCATACGCTCGAAGCCCATGCACCCTAGACTGGATGTCCAGGCGCAAGCGCAGTGCGGGTTTGGGAAGGCAACGCGTGATTCAGGAGCCACAGGACCTCTCTCTCTAAATCCGAAATTGTAAAAGGCCGGACATCCAGAAAAATGGCAGCTGGTCAGTGCTTGCCGTTGCAGGGCTTTCGAGCCAAACCCCTTCTGCATCAAGCCAGCCCCCTCCATAAGGGAAGGTCCCATGATGATAATTATCATGAACAAGGTCGAATCGGCCAAAAACTTTGCTTCTAGAGCCGAGAACTTTGGATTTCAAGGGTCAGGGTCTTACAACTAGACCCTAAACCCTAAACCCTAAAGCCTAAGAGTTGCAACTTCGGATGGTGGGGTGTTGCTTTCCCTAACGGCTTCAACCCAAAGATCTTTAATGGCAGATTCGCTGGAGCCCTTCCTCCACGGCGAAGCTGTGCAAGCAGTGTCTGCAGCAATTCTTGCCATGTGCAGCTCAAAGGCGCACAGTACTTTAGGGTTTAGGGTTTAGGTTTAGGGTGTTTTTGAGGGTTTAGGGTTTAGGTTTAGGGTGTTTTTTGAGGGTTTAGGGTTTAGGGTTTGGGGCTCGGGGCTTAATAACAATCACGGAATTGGAGCACAAGGTGCCGGCTTGTTCCAGTCCCGCTACTTTGCATGGCATGAATGCTGACAGTCCTGCGCTGCACGATGCGCATTCACAAACTGGTCCAGAATGCCGGACCCCAAATTCATGTGTCCAACACAGCGACGTTAATGAGCTTGCTGTCGGGTTCCTCTCAGAGCTATAGAGGCCCTCCACTTAGGGTTTAGGGTTCAGGGTTCAGGGTTTAGGGCTCAGGGTTTAGGGTTTCGGGTTTAGGGTTCAGGGTTTAGGGTTCAGGGTTTAGGGTTTAGCGTTCCTGGAAAGTTTGGCCCACAAGGGCCGGCACTGCACCTGGGAGATCCGAGCTCGTCCCTCCAAGCCACGGCTCCCGGGGCTCGACCTGAAACCCTAAACTCTGAACCCTGAACCCTAAACCCGAAACCCGAAACCCTAAACCCTAAACCCTGAACCCTGAACCCTGAACCCGAAACCCCAAACCCTGAACCCTAAACCCCTAAGCCATACAAAGCCTGGAGACCTACAGTGCGTATTCTATCGGCCGCGTCGCTGGTTGGACATTGGAACCTGTGCGCTGTGCGTACAACGAGAGGGCTGGGAGGTGGGGGTCAATGTGCCTCTTGTCCCTCCCCTAAACCCTAAACCCTAGACCCTAAGTCTTGGAAGTCTTGGATTTCGGTCACTTCAAACCTCCCCCTTCCAGCCCAAGGGTGTCTGGGCCGTGTAGAGGCAGCGACTAAAGGCCACCCACAGGCCAACAGACGGACATTAAAAATTTAGGAACTGTAATCCATGTGCAGGCGCCTGCAGAGATGATACTCGGAATTGTCTCTGTGGTTGCCTGTTGTATGTTCTTGTTGCCGCCGTTCGGGCCGATGCACTTGCGGTGAAAATTTACTTCTGCTAGGCACTTGCTGGATGTGCGAGCTTCCACGGGAGGTTCCCGAAGCATGGCATCCGTGGAGATGACCAACGAGGAAGTACCTACAGACGTGCACACGCCTCAGGCGAAAAGGCCCACCCTTCCTCGAGCTAGACTTCTTCTTCCGTCCAGCTGAAACTTTTGCGGCAGGTCGGACACAAGCAGGATGATGCCGGCAAGGCCACAGACCAGGCAGCAATGCACTTCTCGTGGAATACGTGCCCACATGGAAGCACCGCCACGCGGGCGGAAGGAACGAAATCGTCCAAGCAGCAGGCGCACGTGTTTGCAGAATGTGTGCCGGCTGCCTGTTTGGGCAGGGATATGTTGTTGATCTTGTCCTATCCACCGTGCACGTTTTAGATCCCTCCTAAACGCTAAACCCTAAACCCTCTGAGAACAACATAGGCTCTATTATAAGCACCTCCTTGCAGCGAGCCCATCCATGACCATCGAGTCTTGCTAAGCTGTCTCACTTCTTGGGACATGTTGTGGGCGTACACTACCTATCTATATATGGAAAGAAGGCTAAACCCTAAACCCTAAACCCTAAACCCTAAACCCTAAACGATCCTCTCGCAAGCCCACCGAGCTGCACAACTGATGGAGGACTCCTTCGACACCACCCATTCGGCACCGTCCTCTGCGCACTTGACGTTCACGCACTGGAGCCTGGGGTTTAGGGTTATAGGGTTTAGGGTTTAGGGTTTAGGGTTTAGGGTTTAGGGTTTAGGGTTTAGGGTTTAGGGTTTAGGGTTTAGGGTTTAGGGATTCAGGCTTAGGGTTGATTAGGGGACGTTCACGCACTGAAGCCTGGTGTTTGTCGGGAGGAAAAAAGGCACCACTTGGAACCTGACACATCACAAAGAAGCTCAGGAATCTATCATCCTGCAAACTCGAAACCCGAAACCCGAAACCCGAAACCCTAAACCCTAAACCCTAAACCCTTTTGCAACTGGGCTGGGGGACACCTAAACCCCCAGAATGCCTGAAACTCTGAAATCTAAAGCCAAACCCAACAACGCCCAGCAGCTGAGGGCAATCTGCATCGAGCGCCTCGAACATCTGAGAAGCCCAGAGGCATTTGCGTTCGCGAATCCTTTCCGGGGGATTCGGGTTTAGGGTTTGGGGTTTGGGGTTTAGGGTTTAGGGTTTGGGGTTTAGGGTTTAGGGTTTAGGGCTTGCCTTCGAAACCCCGTGTTAATCGCTCGCACTCGGACCAGCCATTGGGTGACTTAAGTCTTAAGGCCTAGCAGCCTGTCTCAGCTTATAGCAGCCCAGGACATTCTGGGGGTTTAGGGTTTAGGGTTTAGGGTTTAGGGTTTAGGGTTTAGGGTTTAGGGTTTAGGGCGCCCCACAGTCAAGCTCCCGGCTCTTGTTCATCAGGTGCCGAGGTTGAAAACTCTAGTTCGTCAGGATGGCTTTTGGAGGGACTTTCCCAGATCTTCCAAAAACCCTTAATTAAGGAATATACCCATACTAAGGATCCTTATTTTGAATTTGGGTATATACCTTAATTAAGGGGTTTTGGAAGATCTGGGTTGCACGCTACCGAAGGTTCAGAGCGCGCTCGAGCTCTGTAGCACAAGCACAAGGACGTGAGCTAGAGTGAATGGAGAAGCGGTGCGGAGGTGCAAAGGTTCAAGGGACTAAAGGAGGGACACTTATAAGGGACCTTAGGGGTTATTTGGGGGTTCTGTAGGGCTACTTAGGTATATAGGGACTATATAAGGAATATATAGGGGTTATGTAGGGGAATAAGATTAAAATTAGGGTCGCTTCCAGGCGTTGGACACCCGCGTGATGTCCAGAGACCCAAGACTTGGTTGCAGGCGCATGAGCGCCTGTGTGTTGTGGGTTTCGCATGCATCAGGGCCCCGAGGCCCCCAGGGCCTGAACCCTAAACTCTGAACCCTGAACTCTAAACCCTCAACCCTCAACCCTAAACCCTACAAGAGGTCCATCCGCCTGGCTGGCTCCACTTGCTGCGCTTGCTGACGGTCAAAGACCATGGCTACTCCTCCCACCAGGACCTGGGCTTTATGTGATTGGGTTGAGCTACGGGGAACCCAACTTGCTATTTGCAGAACGGATCTTTCCCAGGAGTTCAGGAGTTCCAGCTTGGTTGACTTCAACGGTAGGGGGTGATTTTTGAGGTTGCGAACACCCCTTAGAATTGAAGACTAGCTTTTGGGGACCCCAACAATACAGAGAAGGGAAGCTGTAGGAACCGGACTGAGTCTGTTGATAGCCACGTCGTTTTGGGAAAAGATTACTAGTTGGACAGTCAAAGCCTCCGATCACTCCCACGAACATGTCCAGCTCGCCACTTTGCACAAGACTAGCTATGGCGGAATGGAGGTGTTGCCCTGCCTGGCTAGTTGTCTACGCTGGAAAGACCCTGCGATCAAGACCCCATGGGCTGCGATAGAAGGGGGGAGTGCACGACATGAGCACCCAGATCTTCCAAAACCCCTTAATTGAGGAATATACCCTAATTTATACTAAGGATCCTTATTTTGAATTTGGGTATGTACCTTAATTGAGGGGTTTTGGAAGATCTGGGTATACTGCAGGACTGTGAGGGGGTGTGAA